TTTTCCTCTGCCTCAATTAGTTTACCTTCCCCTTACTTAAAACATGTCAGAAGCCCACAGCATATTAGCGGCATATCATTCACTTCGACTAAAACATTCCTTCCAAGCTAACAGACAGGCTTAATCTATAATGGGAGCCTACTGTTAAGTGTTATAAAAATACTTGCTACAAATCTGCTACAATCAGACAATACTTATCTCCAAAGCTTGTTTGGAGAGATTTTAGAATAATCCCTCAGTGAGACATCATGTTCCTATAAGAGGTGACACAGGATTTATATAACAGGGTTTTCAGGCCACCCTTTAATCAGCTGCAGACCTCGGCCTCCCATTTTTCTTTTTCTTGGTTGCTTTCTCTATAAACAATAACGTGCAATTATCCCTGATTTATGTTCCTGTCTTGACAACGGTTGGTCTTTCCTCCCCCCCCCCCCTAGAACAGCATTTAAGCCACAATGAAGAATGTCTATTTCTGTTTCAAGTATTCTAATCCTAACTGAAGCGAAGGTAGGCTTACAAACCCTCCCGTCCACAAACACGGTTAAACAACTATTCATGTATTCAAAAGATTTCTAGAGGTTAAAAGCAAAGGGGGGGGGGAGCCTCCGATTCTAAAAGAGGGAGCCGTAAAATGGGAAGAGGTGCAAAGAATTGCAGAACTAAAGAGACAATCTTGTAAGGGAACTTGACCTTGTACTGTGTCTGGACCACCAACCTGGGAAGCCTTTGGCCCCCAATCCTGAGATTGCTGCTTTCTCTAGAGCAGGGCTGGGGTGGGGGGCTGCTGTTCCCACTTGGGGGGAGTCCCTCCCCCCCAAGGAGAGAAAGGAAGAAAGGGGATCAAAGGAAGGAAGGAGAGAAAGAGGGAGGAAGGAAAGAGGGAGGGAGGGAGGGAGGAAGAAAGGGGATCAAAGAAAGGAAGGAGAGAGGGAGGAAGGGAGGAAGGAAAGAGAGAGGGAGGAAGGAAGGGGATGGAAGGAAGGAAAGAGGAAGAAGAGATCAAAGGAAGGAAGGAAGGAAGGAAGGAAGAGGATGGAAGGAAGGAGGGAGGGAGTAAGAAAGGGGATCGAAGGAGGGAGGAAGGAAGGAAAGGGATCGAAGGAAGGAAAAAGGGAAAAGGGAGGGAGGGAGGAAGGGGATCAAAGGAAGGAAGGAGGGAGGGAGGAAGGAAGAGAAGGAAGAAAAGGGATCGAAGGAGGGAGGGAGGGAGGAAGGAAGGGGATCGAAGGAAGGAAGAGAAGGAAGAGAAGGAAGGGGATCAAAGGAGGGAGGGAGGAGGGGATCAAAGGGAGGGAGGAAGGAAGAGAAGGAAGAAAAGGGATCGAAGGAGGGAGGGAGGGAGGAAGGAAGGGGATCGAAGGAAGGAAGAGAAGGAAGAGAAGGAAGGGGATCAAAGGAGGGAGGGAGGAGGGGATCAAAGGGAGGGAGGAAGGAAGAGAAGGAAGAAAAGGGATCGAAGGAGGGAGAAAGGAACAGAAGAAGGAAAGAGACCGAAGGAGGGAGGAAGGGGATCGAAGGAAGGAGGGAGGAAAGAAGGAAGAGAAGAAGGAAAGGGATCGAAGAAGGGAGGGAGGGAGGGAGGAAGGAAGCTCTGAAGAGGAACCCCGGATACATAGATGCCTGTGTGAATTGTTGCACCAAGACTCCCGAGGGAATGCGAACCAGCCAACCAGCCCAAATGCGGGGAGCCCAGATTGAAACTGTAACGGGGAGCCCGGATAACCATGTTTCCGAAAGGGCCTCTGAAGGCATCCAGGGCCAAAGAGCAGCACCGGCAGCAGTGGGAAAACAGCCCGCCTGATCGAGGAAGGCCACCCACCAGGCTCTGCCTGCTCCTTCCCCAAGGGAGGCGGGGAGGGGGCCAGCAGCCCCCCCTGGCCGCCCCAAACCAGGGCAGACGTATCCAGAACACCCACCGGCCCACCCCTCCCCCTTCGGCAGCGATCAGCTCGGCCAAAACTAAAGATGGCTGCTGCTCTTCTAGGGAGCCGCAATGGGTCCAAATAACAAGGATAATAGGGCTGATGGTTGGGATTCGGGAGGGTAAATTGTCCTTTTCCCTCCCCTTCAAACACCAGGGGGCCCACGGCCTGTCTCCCTGTTCAAATCCACCCAGACCAATTACAGACTATTTTTAAAAGAAAACTTGAGTTTGGACATTTGCTTTGAGTTTAAAAAAAAAAAAAAAAAAAAACCACAGCTTCGCCAAGCCTGACGTACCCAAAGCACCGAGCCATTCGATTTTAGCCCCTATTTTTCTTACTTCTAGTTGTGGAAGGGACAGTCCTGCTTCTTTAGCAGGATCTATGTTTACGACCCACAAGGAGCAGAGGAGGAGGAGGGGGAGGAGGAGAAAGCAGAACCCACATTCCCAGTCCTCCCTCCAGCTTCTCTCATGAAATATACATCCTGCAGCACTTTACATATACCGGACCGTAAATCTTATTCTGCATTCTTTCCGTTTTTAGAAAAAGTATTTTACTGCCAACGGATCTGCTCAAGAACCAGAAGGACTTAGGGGCCTAGTAATAACAATAATAAAGTTGGAAGGGACCTTGGAGGTCATCTAGTCCAACCCCCTGCTCAGGCAGGAAACTCTACACCATTTCGGACAAATGGCTGTCCAGTCTCTTCTTAAAAACTTCCAGTGTTGGAGCATTCACCGCTTCTGGAGGCAGGTTGTTCCATTGGTTAATTGTTCTGTCAGGAAGTTTCTTCTTAGTTCTAGGTTGCTTCTCTCCTTGATGGGTTTCCATCCGTTGCTTCTTGTCCTGCCTCCAGGCATTTTGGAAAATAGCTTGACTCCCTCTTCTTTGGGGCAGCCCCTGAGATACTGGAAGACTGCTATCATGTCCCCCCTCGTCCTTCTCTTCGTTAAACTAGATATACCCAACTCCAGCAACCGTTCCTTATATGTTTTAGCCTCCAGTCCCCTAATCATCTTTGTTGCTCTTCTCTGTACTCTTTCTAGAGTCTCAGCATCTTTTTTACATCGTGGTGACCAAAACTGGATGCAGGATTCCAAGTGTGGCCTTAGCAAGGCCTTGTGTAAAGTGGTATTAAAACTTCATGTGTTCTTGGTGAGGAGAGCGACCCCCCCCTTTTTTTTAACCAAGGCTGCACATAGATTCTGAGGTCCAGTTCCTGACTCAAAACATCAGACCAGAAGAATCTGCCCTTTCTCTCCACGTAATTGTAGGGTTGTCCCTCCTAATGCATTCCTTTCTTTAGCGGGACAGGAAAAAAATGTTATGACGCTAGACTGAAATGTAGTGGCATTTCCTGACTGGATGCCTGTCTTTTACCTTTTTAACCTGTCTGAAATGCTCCCGTAACTGGACAATTCAGAAGATGCGTAGCGAGAGGCTCCTGCAAGCCCCCGTGGAGTCGTACGGAAAGCACGTTTGGGCCACTCTGGGAAAAGAGGCAACCGTGTGGGTGCAGTGTGGAATTCCAAGTGTGGGTTAGCTCCACGGTCCTTGGCAAGCATGCACTGGATTTTATTTTTCCAGTCGAGGGGAAAAAAGGTCTGCCAAAGAGAGCCACGATAAGGGTTTTGTAAATTGGGAACGGCTGCGAGGAGGAAGTGGCTACAGATATATTTTTCTGTGTCTCTCAGTGGCAGTTCTGCGGTCGCCCGCTGGAACCGATGGGCTGGAGAAGATCTCGGTGGAATTTGCTGCCCCAGAGATGTGGTGGCTGGCTCTGGCTTTAATTGCATCAGTGTGTCAGGAGGGAGATAAATTTATGGAGGAGAAACCTTCCACTTCTGGAGGAATTTGTACCAGTTTTTCATTATGTGACCATAAAACACTCCAGAAAATGAGGCTGTGCAATAAAGCCAACCAATAAAATCTAAAAGCCATAATCAGCAACCCTGAGGAAGAATCAGCAATAAGAGGAATTAAAGGAGGCGGCCTTAATTGTCCAATCTGCTGGTTCAGAAAGAATCCATGTCAAGGCAGAGGGGACGCCTTCTCTGCCAGGTAAGACTGCACTGAACGTTGGATGGAACTTGATCCAAGACACGGGGAGGAAAGCCCACTGCAGGCACCCCAAATGCTGCCACAGCCTCAACAGCCACTGTCTGGTAGTCCAAAGGGATTACCTGCCCACTTTTTGAAGGTCAAAAAAAGCCTCAGATGCATTTAGAGGGGGGAGCAACAGGTCTGACAATCCCATGAGCTGCGCCCGTTTACCATGCCGAGTGCCTTCTCTCAACTGTGCTGGGGTCATCTTGCAAGGGCCTCATTGCCTCGCCCAAGGACATTCAGCGCAAGTGCCAAAAGAGAGGAAATAGGAGTGTGCTGTTTATTCTGAAAAAGGGGAAGACTGGCAGCGCAGCATCAGCCACTCGGAAGGCGTGAGCAATTCTGCAGCTGCCTTCCCAACCATCCAGAAAGGCCGGTGCAAGAGGAATTAGCCGGTACCAGGGTGCCCTCTGGTGGCAATCCCAGATTTGGCTAAGCCAGGGGTCTTCAAACGTGGCCCTTTTATGACTTGCGGACTTCAACTCCCAGAATTCTGGGAGTGGAAGTCCACAAAAGGGCCACGTTTGAAGGCCTCTGGGCTGAGAGATGCCTGCAGAAGAAGCCGCCTCGAAGGGGGTAGTGAAACGGCGCAAGAGGGAAAGCTCCATCAGGATCCGCCGCAGTCTCCCGCTTCTTCACGCTCGCTTGAAAGAAAGGGGCTCGTTTTGCAGGTGTGCACATCTTTATTCAATGCTAAGTGACAATCAGCTCCAGCAGCATGCATCTCAGAAAGACACTGGTGACAGACAGCAGTACAGTTTTCAACCCTGTGCAGCTGCAGTTTGGCCAGAAGCCTTTCCCAGAAAGAAGTCCCAAAGACACCCCACCCCCTTTGCGGGCTTCTAGACACAGCTTGTTCCCCCTGACCAGGGAGAGCCACTGCATGCCTTTCAAGAGCCAAAAGGTGATCGGTGGACGAAGCAAGAGCCATACCCCTGCTGGCTCTGGGCTTGGCCTGTGGGGGGAAAAGAATAGTGTTGCAAAATCTCCCGGTCATTTTGCTTGAGGGTGCTCGGTGGGGCTTTCCTTCCTAGGGGCTGACATCCAGGGGGTCCTGCTAAGCTTCTCGCGGGCTTCTCGCACCCACCCCACGCTCCACCAGGTGATCCCTCACGACACCCAGAGTCCGACTCTCGTCCCAGAAATCAGCAGTGCCGAAGCAGCGCCAGGAGCCTGGCTCTCGAGTTCTCTCAGCCAGCCCTCACAGGAAAGCCTCAGCTCCCACACCCACGTGCCCTGAGATAAAGAGGCCACCCCAGTGAGTGAGAAGGTGGAACAGGCTACATACAGGCCTGCTGGGGAGGATGTCGAGATCAAGGGAACCTAGAGACCTGCAGAGGCAAAAGACCCGGCCTCAGACAGATGAGAAGAACCAGCCTCGTCCCCCTCCAGCACTGGCTGAAGGGGAAGCTTGAGGTCATCCAGACAGCCCCCTTGCCAGTTCAGCTTTAAATAATGCTGCAGCCAAGAAGCTAGAGCAATTGTGTCCCTCTCCGTCCCACGTCCCGAGAGCCAGTCCTCAGCAGAGGTCCCCACCTCCAGCCACTGAGTTGTCCTCCAGCACAAGGACCGTTAAGCTGAGATAAATCCTTCCATGCAGAGCTCACCTCTTCCGGGAAGCCACCCTCTACCTCCTGTGGCTGTCCTTGCAGAGCCTCTTCTGCTGCGGCTTCCGCTCCTTCCGCCTCTCCTGGCCACTTGGTGTCCTGGCCACCCAGGAATTGCTCACAATGCTGCGGTGGGGGGGTCTCCTGCTCGGACTGCAAGGTTTGCCTGAGCACTTCCTCTCGGTCCAGCTGTGGGGAGAGAGAGGCCAGAGTGGCCTCCAAAGCCAGCCGGGCCTCGTGAGCTCCCTTCTCCAGTCCAGCAGCACTCTCAGCGGCCTCCTGGCAGGCCGCTCTCACCCTCTTCTCCAGGAAGGTGACTTCTCTCCTGAGTCCCTCTGCCAATCCTTCCTTCTGCTGGATCTGGCTGGCAGCACGCAGCATATCAGCTTGAAGAGAAGCCATGGCTTCTTCCTGCTTGGTGTTCAGCAGCTTGATCTGGGCTTCCAGATCGGTCACCTTTTCCTGCTCCACCTTCAATTGTTGGTGTCGTTCCTCCCAGTCGGTGCTCAAAGCTTTTATCTGGGCCAAAAATACGGGGTGTGCGCTCTTCAAAACCTGAGCGGAATTCAGCCTGCCTGTGACACTTTCCCCTGTTCGGCCTCCTTTGGGGCCTTCGGTTCCCATCTTGCATTTAGCGAGAACAGCAAGCAACTGTGGCAAGTTCACGGCCCCTCTGAGGATGAGCTGCAAAACCCAGCCCTTCCAGACATTACGGCCCAGCTCTTAGAAGCTGACAGGCAGCCAGCAAAAGAAGCCGATGCAGAAATTGTTAGAAAGATGACATGAAAAGTGAATGCCGGTGGAGGACTCCGAGAGAGTAAATCGGACAGAGAGAGCAAACCAAGTTATAGGTGCATATCTTCCATGGGCCTAGAAGAGAGTCACCACAGTACTAAGGGCCAACAGTACTAAGTCTAATTTTTGATAGGTGCAACGGAACGTGTTTTTTTTTTCTGTAGCCCAAGAGAGACGACCCCAAAGTATGCGTAAAGTGTAGAGAACGTTAAACCTTGGCCGAACGTTCAACACCCTTAGCAACCTATCCCCTCTGGCAGATTTCTCCCAGGAAATCCCATTCCTCCTGGTGTGCCCGAAGGACAGAGCCATTCTAGCCGCCCCCAAAGGAGGCTGGGTTTGCACCCACCTTCATCTGAATGCTCTCCACTTGGGCGAAGTCCTCTTCCACTTTCTTTTGCAAAGCCATCTGAAGAGGAGACAGAATTGAATTCAGCCTCTGGGAAGCAAAGGGCCTGCTTGGCGGGGTTGGGGGGGAGAGGGAGGGGGCAAGAAGGTGTGTGTGTGTGTTTCTCTTGGCCCAAACCTGGCTCCTCCACAGCAACCAGAACGTTGGGCCAGGGGTCTTCAAACTAGGCCCTTTTACCATTTGTGGACTTCAACTGCCAGAATTCTTCAGCCAGCTTGCCTGGCTGAGGAATTCTAGGAGTTGAAGTCCACAAGCAGGGGCTCTTCAAACCTGGCCCTTTTATGACTGGTGGACTTCAACTCCCAGAATTCCTCAACCAGCCTGCCTGGCTGAGGAGTTCTGGGAGTTGAAGTCCCCAAGCAGGGGGGGTCTTCAAACCTGGCCCTTTTATGACTGGTGGACTTCAACTCCCAGAATTCCTCAACCAGAGTGCCTGGCTGAGGAATTCTGGGAGTTGAAGTCCACCAGTCATAAAAGGGGCAAGTTTGAAGACCCCTGTGTTGGGCCATTGCGAAGGCAGGCAAGATGCAGAGCACTTCAGCTTCTCCTCCCATTTTCTTTCACACACAAACACACACACACCCACCCAAACACAACACCTCTCCCCCCCCCCCCAGAGAAAAAAGCGCCGAGGCCGCCTGGCTGATGCCTGCCCTCACTCGGGCCCTCCAGAGCTACCAAGGGCGCTGGAAGCAGCCTCGAGGCTGGGCAACGAGCGCGGCGGCCTGCGCTGGGGGACCCTTCGGCCGCCCGGCCCCGGAAGAGACGCGCTCGGCCCGGCCACTCACGAAATTCCTCTCCAGGCACTCGACGGAGTGGAAGCCATCGTCGCACCTGGAAAGAGAACCGCAGGAACCGCGACTGGAGGAGGAGGACGAGCGGAGACAGCCCCTCCTCGGCCCGCTTCCGCGGAGCCTCAACTGCCGCCCCGCCGGCTTCGCTAGGCCAGAGCAACACGTGCCTCAGGGCCCGGCCGCGCCCACGCAGTTTCCCGCCCAAACGAGGCAGCCCCGTTGGCTGGCGGGGGTCAGGTGACCGGCGCCGAGTACCCTCCCTCCCACCCAGCCGGCGAGTTCCTAGAAGGGCCGTCAGTGCCTCACTCACTTTTCCGCCATAGGGTCGCTCTAGGCTTACGCGCCCGCCCGGCGTCCCGGGCTGCTATTTGAACCTTCCCTCCCATTTCGCGGCCCCGCCTCGCTCAGGCCCCCCCGCCCTTTCTTCCCTTTCCCCGATTGGTGGGAACCGGGTCCTGACGCGGAGGGGGCGGGGCCAGGCGGCAAGGAGGCACAGCTGGGCGTGTGAAGTGGGATCCAGCTGGAGATCTGGGAATTCTGATTGGCTGCCGCTCCGGATCCCTTCCCCACGCGCGATTTCGCTCCTCCCCCGACAAGCGCTTCCTGCATCAAGCAATGTGGGAGCCAGCATCCCGTTCGTGGAAGGCTCCGAGCGATCGCTGCCGGGCTGCCCGGCCAGCGTGGGCTCCATCCGACGGGTGCCCGGGATGCCTCTCCGGCGCAACCGCGTGGCAGGACCGGCCGCCGCTCGCTGCGCTGGGCAGAAACGCGGCTTCCTTCTTTGCGTCGTTCAGGGGTTCCCATTGCCCCGTTGTCTGACGCTGATCCCGCCTTGCCCGGGCTCCCACCGCGGCCAAGAGCTGCGATCTCGGGCTGCCCGCGGCTGGAGCGGAGGCTCGGATCCCCGGCCTGCCCTGTTCCCCCCACCCCCGCGGGGGCCGCGTGGCGCCCACGATCGCCAATGCCCGGCAGGAAAAGGACCGCGCAGCGGCTCTGCACGCGCCGGGGGCCGGATCCGGGTGCGCCGCAGGGCGAGCACTAACGCGGAGCTGCTGCGCTGGCCGACTGGCCTCCCTGGAGGAGGCGCTCGTAGCCTCTCTGGCATCGGGGGCTTTGGGGGGCGGCCGTCCCTAGAGCGATTTTAGGGGGCGCGGCTCATCGCTTCCCCCCCCTTTCCGAATCCGCTCTGCCCCGGCCTTTTGGGGGGTCGGTCTTGCGAGGGAAGGAGGAAGGTGATGGGAGGGCAGGAGGAAGGGAAGGAAGGAAGGTAATGGGAGAGGGAAGGAGGAAAGAAGGAAGGAAGGAGATGGGAAGGAAGGAAGGTGATGGGAGAGGGCAGGAGGAAGGGAAGGAAGGAAGGAGATTGGAGAGGGAAGGAAGGAAGGAAAGTGATGGGAGAGGGAAGAAGGGAAGGAAGGAAGGAGATGGGAAAGAAGGAAGGAGATGGGAAAGAAGGAAGGAGGAAGGAAGGAGATGGGAGAGGGAAGGAGGAAGGAAGGAGATGGGAGAGGGAAGGAGGAAGGAAGGAAGGTGATGGGAGAGGGAAGGAGGAAGGAAGGTGATGGGAGAGGGAAGGCGGCGGAGGTATCTCCTCTGGCGCTGGACCACTCCGCCTTTTGCCTGCTCAGCCCGCAGTTTCCAGGACCACGAACCGGGCAAATGACCTCGATGCCCGCAGCAGTTCCAGCAAGCTCCCCGCCCCACCATAAGCTCTTGCACGACCAAAGGTGAGCTGGCCACTTGGGCTCACCTCCGCGGTCCAGGTGGGGCCCAGCGCGAGGCCGAGGTCGGTCTGGCTCCCTTCACAGGCAGGGCAGCAGGAGAGGGGGCAGCAGGCAGGAGTCCCGCCATCTTGCCCCAGTCTACCTCTGCATCCTCGTGGCGGCTGAAAGGATGAGGGAAAGCAGAGAGGAACCGGGGTCTTCCTATTTGGGACAGAGGTGCGATTGGATCGCCTCCCTCCGCTCAGTCCACTCGCCAGTGGGTGAAGCCACACGAATTATTCAGCCATTCCAAGGATTAATCGCGGCAGAGGCCTGCATTCTGTACATGCTCAAATGATGGCCCATCTTTCCTATTGGGGTACTCTAAGAGTCGTTCAGTTTACAAATACTTCATGGGACTGTAGGGTTAAGAGCAGCGGATCAGATGGGTTTCTTTCGGCAAGCAATACAACAAAACGGTGCCCAAATAGCTTAGAATTAGTTGGGAAGGAGAGCTCTAAAATGAGGACTAGAACCTTGAAGCAATTTTCATTGCCCAGGGATCGGTCCTGAAAATGGATTCTGAACGTGTGCAGGAAATCCCTCTTTCCTATCCTTGGGGGGGGGGGTGAGCTCCCCTTGCAGTGAGGTGAGAATGATTAGGGGAGGCGGGGTTTCCATCCCAGCTAGAGGAAGCCCCTGACCCCTTTCCAAGACTCCCAGATATTCTCTAGGGAGATTATCAGATGATCAGTCACCCAAAGGTGCTTTTTCAAGTCCAGCTGCCTTTTGAAAAAACACTTTTGGGACTCCCAGATACTGGGGGGGTCCTAAAAGAAGCACACCCCCCACAAGGAGGGGGGCACTGTCCCTCTGCCGGACCAGGAAGGCGGCAATCTACCTGTTGCCCCCCCCCAAAAGAAACACCTCTGAAGTAAAGGCTGGCACCCCTCCCCTTAGGAGGGCTGCTTGAGGAAAATCTTTCCATCCATCCCACTTTCCCCCTCCTCCCCCCAAAAGCAAGCACTGAGGTTTCCTGACAATGAAAACGACGTGATTGCAGACATCCGGGGTCAAACAATACATTTGGGAGACTGTGCACGTGGTACAGATAGCTAAGCACGAAGACGCAAAGTCACAACAGCCGTGAGGACGTGACAAAGGTTAGCAGGGCAAAGCATAATTTAAAGGTCAGTTGCTGAAGCCACCGCCAGGATGGATGCGCCTCCTATGGGGGAGAAAAGGAGATTTCAAACTGGGGGCAGCAATCAACCGGAAGCCCCTTCCCGCACCCTCTCCAAGGAGTGGCCTTCAGAAACGGTTAAATCCTCCTCAGAGGCTGGGGCTTTCTTTAGACCCACAACCAGCCAGGCTGGACTACAAAGCAGGGGTCCCCAACCCCCGGTCTGTGGATTGGTACCGGGCCGCGCGGCACGCCAGCAACCGGTCTGCACAAACAAGCAAAGCCCCATCCGTGGGATGCAGGCAGCACACAAAACCACGCACTCTCCCGTTTGTGGAAAAACATCTCTCCATGGAACTGGTCCCTGGTGCCCAAAAGGCTGGGGGCCTCTGCCATGGAGGGCCATCCTAAGTCACCTCCCTCTTCTCCTCCTACAGAAGTCCTCCCGGGGCTCCGGCCCTTGCTACCTCCTCCCTGCCCTCCGGATCAATGGCTTTCCAGCAGCTCTGCCATTCCAGGTCTGGCAGGAACACAAGAGGGGCACTTTTCATCAGCGCAGCCTCACACCGGGGGCCAGGAGAGCTACACTGTGTGTCCACGTCATGTAGCCTGATTTTGGGGGTCCCTCCTGAAGGGGGGGGGGGAGGTGAGATGGCCACCGTGCCCAGAGCATCTCAGGCTGTGCAGAAGGCAGCCAAGCACCATGACACGGGTCTTCCCACACGGCCAATCCCAAGGGAACAGCTTCCGAGGCATCAGAGCAGCTGGACAAGGCAGCAGCAGCAGCAGCCCAGAGAAGAACTTCTCTGGGACGCTTTTAGATTCCCGCAAAGAGCAGAGGTTGGGCTAGATGGTCTCGAGATCCCCTGCCAAGGGGGTATTTCTCCTCTTTCACTGGGTGATTGTGGTCAGCTCGATAAGCCTTGGGGAGAGGGCCACCTTTCCATGGAGGACAATCGGGCGAGTCCATCTTCACCGGCTGCAAAGGGGTCTTTGCCACTCCACTGAGTTTAAGCGCTTGGACAGCATGGAGATGAATGCGTCTTGCAGTGTTTGTTTCCATGGAAACCCTCCGTAGTTCTTCCAGGCTGGAGTGCGGCAGAGCAGGCACGGGGGCCTTCGTCCCCATGGCTCCCCCGGGTCCCCCCATCTGCTCACGTCTCAGTTCAGTCCTGCTTCTCCTGTCCTCCAGGCTTCATGCAGACCCTAAAGGACCACATCACCAAGCCCAGCGCCATGGCCCCAGGATGCGTGGCCCCATCTCATGGAGTGCGCCCCCCATTGAAGAGATGCTCTATGAGGAGCCGACTGACCAGCTGAAGGAGGCTCGGTTTGTAGCAGGTGGGAGGGAGGCTGGGGCAAGTGGGGACAGGAGGAGGCATCTGGCCAGCATTCTCTGTGTTTGCAGCTACTGGGCATCCCAGAGGTAACGCAGAGGGACAGCTGGTCATCAACTGCTCTCTTTGGTGTTCTTGCAGGAGCTTGCATTGTGTCAGCCTTGCCCCCAGCCGTCTGTGCCTCACCTCCCAGCTCTCTGCCCCCTGGCCAGATGTGGCCGAGCAGTTTCCCCCTGAACAAAGAGGAGCTGAGCTCCAGGGCAGGCTCACTGGAGGTGATCCAGCTCCAAGGTATGGCCGGTGCATCGCTTCTCTATCCCCTGGCGGCGTCTTCTCTTCTAACTCTCCTCCTCTTCCTCCTTCTTCTCCTCCTCCAGCCAGATCTGGAAGGCCTCTCTCTGCAGGACGGTCTACTCTCCTGCCCAACGGTTCCCGCAGGCAGCCTCCGGACCTTCACGCTCTCCAACCAGGAACACCCCCCCCCCATCCCAAGCAGACCCCTGGAAGCAAACGACCGGAGTAGGGCGGCTTGGGAAGGGCAGAAGGGGAGCTGGTGGGCCCACCCAACTCCTGTAGATGGCAGCAGAGGGCCACGTTGCTGCACTACGCGGACAGCAGCTCTCCCTCCGAGGACGAGGTCTTCTACGACTAGGCTGAGGCCACTTGGGTGGCCGGTTGGCAACAACTGTGGTGGCACGAGTAGCTCCAGGAGAGGCAGGATTGCAGGGCTGAGGGTGGTCTTGCTTCTCAGGCCCAGCCCAGCCTTGGCCTGGCAGCTGGGCTGAGGAAGTGCATTCGGGTCCCCGAGCCGTTTCAGTTGCAGGAGGATTACGCTTTTTTGGCACAGCCCGTCAAGAGTCGGCCTGATCCACAACGCTCTTTCAGCGTTGAGCTGGACCCTGCACAGCCGGCCAAGCGGTGGGGGAGGCACGTGGAGGATGGACTTGGAGCAGGGGTCAATAGCCGGCTGGGAATTCCGGCCAAGCTCCCTTCAGGGTTTCCATAGGGTCTCCTCTCCCTTCCAGTGCTTGCTAATGTTCACAGAGCGACCTCAGTCCTTCCTTATGGATGAAAGCGTGGCTGGCCCAGGAATGTCGTACTGAAGATGTAAATAAAAACAGCTGGGGCAGAAAAATTTTCCTTCTTGCCTGGAAGGAGCAGAGAGCAGGAAGGAAGGAGCTGGCCCCCAGGAGACCCCAGCTGAGGGAGGAAGGAGCAAGGCAGGCCTGCTCTGATTGGAGGCGAGGTCTGATCCAGCCTGACTGAAGGACGTGTCTGGAGGGTGGGTTTCTGGGACTCCTTCTTTAGGAAAAACAAGGATGGGGAAAGGACACGGCCAGGTGAAGCCCCTCCTTCCCCCCAAAACCCACTCGCCTCACGCTAGACCAGGGGTAGGCAGCCTCGGCTCTTTTATGATTGGTGGACTTCAACTCCCAGAATTCCTGAGCCAGCCATGCTGTGGGGAAAGGGAGAGGTTTCCAAGCTGAGCCAGGCTGGCTCAGGAATTCTGGGAGTTGAAGTCCACAAGTCATAAAAGGGCCAAGTTTGAAGACCCCTGTCTTAAATCTAACAAACAAAATGGAGGCTGGTTGAGGAATTCTGGGAGTTGAAGTCCACCAGTCATAAAAGGGCCAAGTTTGAAGATCCCTGCTCTAAACGATCCTTATTGTAGACCTAATGGCTGCACAGACTAGGCCAGGGATAGGTAACCTCGGCTCTTTTATGACTGGTGGACTTCAACTCCCAGAATTCCTGAGCCAGCCACGCTGAGGGGAAAGGGAGGTTTCCAAGCTGAGCCAGGCCGGCTCAGGAATTCTGGGAGTTGAAGTCCACGAGTCATGAGGGGGCCATAGTTCCCCCCTGCTGGCTCAGGAATTCTGGGAGTTGAAGTCCCCGAGTCATCAAAGAGCCAAGGTTGCCTACCCCTGCGCTAGACCCTCGCACCCGTTGCCAAACTGGGGAAAGTCTTGAGCCTCCTATACGTTAGAACGATTCGGTTGTGTCTCTGCAACTATTTCTAAAATGCCAGAAGACCTAAAAAGCGCCTACATCTTCCCCTTGCTGCTCGCTCTTTCCGTATTTTTTTCTTTTTTTTTAACTTTGCAGTGAATTCTTCTTTAGACAGGCCGAAGAATTTCGCTAGCATGCAGTAACGCCAAGCCCAGGAACTCAACCTATGGCTTCACCTCTCCGGCACGCTCCTCCCGCTGGCTCCGTTATCGCCCGGCTTTGGGATTGGCCAGCTCTTCGATGGCTTTCCGGAGCTAAGGAAGAAGAAGAAGAAACAGCCAAGCTGATAAGGGACCACAGAGAGCGAGTGGATGTTGCAAATGTCCTGAACTGCTTCCCCTCCGAGGAAGAGCTGCCAAACCCATCGCCAGCTCAAGAGAGGCCCCGTTTCATTGTCAGACCGACGATTGCCAGTGTTGGCACGGCGGCAGCAGCACCAGCCAAGCCGCCTGTCCTCATTGCCCCCACCGGCGCCCACGGAAGGAGGGCTGGTGGGAAGGAAGGACAGCACCTCGCTGCGCCCTCCTGGGGAAGCCCACCCACTCACCTCCCTCCTGGTCACGATCCCCACCACTGTCCCCAGCTGGGTGACGAACGCCCGCTGGAGGTTCAGCATCTCAAAGAGGTTGTGGGCCTGCGGGAGAGAAAAAGAGACCTCGGTGAGGGGAAGAGCCGAGGTGGCGCAGCAGTTAGGGTGCAGGACTGCCGGCCACTTTAGCTGACTGTGTTCAGCAGGTCAGCGGTTCAAATCTCACCCGGCTCAAGGTTGACTCAGCCTTCCATCCTTCCGGGGTAGGTAAAATGAGGACCCAGATTGTTGGGGGCAATGTAAATGTTTATATACATTGCTTACTGGTGTACACCGCTTAGAGAGTGCTTGCACTTAAAGCGGTATATAAGTCTCATAAATAATAAATAAATAAATAAATAAATAAGAGGCCCCCTTCTTAAAAACCTCTTTCCCAATGGACCCCCTTGAAAACCCTGCCTGGCCCTGTTCCCCAATCAAAGCCTCTCCCCACCCCACACACACACACAGACACCGCACGGTTCAACAGAGTGGCAGCTTCCCGCCCTCCTTCCTGTCGCTGTTGGCCTGGCGCCTCGGCAGAGGAATGAGCCCCGCTTCAGCACTCGGGTGGGGTGCCACCTGCAGGGCCTGAAGTACCTGGTGCAGAGATGTCCACGGGGAGAGCTGCAGGCTCACCGGACTGATGGTGCACCCCTCTTTCAGAGTCTGGCCCGAGAGAAGCTAGGGAGGGGAGAAGCACGGCCATGGAGGCAGGAGAGGCAAGATGGGAAGGAACCCTGCCCCACCCACTCCGCCCCACGGAAAGCAGAGGGTCAGCTCTTGCCCGAGTCACCTTCTCGGACCCACCTCTTTCCCCGGCTTCTCCTGCGGCAGGCTGGAATCCTCGTGGCTCTGGAGAAACTGGATGAGACTGGACCGCTGGATCGCCCCCAGCAGCATCTGAGACTCTGAGGGAGAAAAGAAGCAGAGGGAAGCATCCAGTTTTGGTCACCACGCTGTAAGAAAAGATGTTGAGCCTCTAGACCAGTGATTCTCAACCTTTTTAATGCTGCAACCCCCAACCGGTCGTAAGTCGAGGACTACTCCACCAGTCGTAAGTCGAGGACTACTCCACCGGTCGTAAGTCGAGGACGACTCAACTGGTGCAGCACCGTTTGCAGAATGGGACTTTTGGTGGGCTCAGCAGGGCAGAGACAGCCTGGACAATTCCTATTGGCTTTGGAAAGCCAATAGAATTAGACTCTATTCAAGAGAGTCTATTCTATTGGCTTTCAAAAGCCACTAGAATAAAAGGGAGTAGCACAGCTAAGGAAAAGGGGGGGAAAAATGGCGGACTGCGTTGTTTGGCGACCCCCGTGAAATGGTCGTTCGACCCCAAATGGGGTCCCGGCCCACAGGTTGAGAACCACTGATCTAGAAAGAGAAGAGCAACCTAGGTGATCAGGGGACTGGAGGCTAAAACATAGGAAAAACGGGTGCAAGAACTGGGCAAGGCTAGTCCAGTGAAGAGAAGAAGGACCAGGGGAGGCATGATAGCAATAGTTCCAATATTTGAGGGGCTGTCACAGAGAGCAGGGGGTCAACCTATTTTTCCAAAGCACAAACTGTCCCTGGAAACCCATTATGGAGAGATTCAACCTTCTTAGAAATAAGAAGAGATTTCTAACAGTGAGAAGAATAAACCAATGGAACAGCTTGCCACCAGAAGTTGTGGGTGCTTCGGCACTGGAGGCTTTCAACAAGAAATTAAAAACAGCCACGTGTCAGAAACGGTATAGCTTCTCCTAGCTTGGACTAGATGACCTCCAAGGTCCCTTCCAACTGTTATTTTAAGACTGCAGTTTCTAGGAATGTGGCTGTGTGTGTGTGGGTGGGTGGGTGTACATGCGTATTTATGCTACAAATGCTTCAACGCTGCTCCATTCATAAGGGGGGACCCTCCCACCAGACAGTTCCAGCAAGACACACACACACACCGCTGCTTTCAGAACACCACCGTACCAGCATTGTCTACCACAGGATACTCCTGCGCATCCGTCATGGTGACCACCTGGAGGATGTCGTGAAAGGTGGCTTCTTGGGCCAGCATGGCAAAATCGGTGTTCATGAACTCTCGGGTGGTGACCGTGTAAGACCTGAAAGGGAAGCAGCGCTCAGCAGACCGACGGCTTTATGGCGCCGGGGCCGCCCTTTGGCCAGGTGCTCTGGACACACGCAGAGTGCCTGTTCTTTGGGAAGGCCGGCGTCCCAACCCCCCAGGTGCCAGCGGGCCAAGCTCACTCGATATGCCTGCTCCGGATGCGGGGAAGGTAAGGTAGCTTCTTGACAATGATGGTGCCATCGTAAAAAGAAGGCTGGAACTTCTGGGCAATGGCGTTGGCCACCAGGACGGCCAGCAGGACAGGCAGGATGTGGGCGATCTGCCCGGTCATCTCAAAGGCCAGCAAGGCGGTGGAGAGGGTGTGGGTGACCGAGCCAGAGAAGGCAGCAGCCCCTGAGGGGAAGAGCAGTGGGTGGCTGATTTCCCGGAGAGCAAAGGGGTGTGTGTGTGTGTGTGTGTGTGGGAGGGGGAGTGTTTCCACCCTGCCTGCCTCCCAGGCGCGCCAAGGAAGCCTCCTAACATACCTGCCAGCGCGTACGCCCCAGGGATGATGGGGCTGGGGGTCCCTTCGGCAGTGATGCCCCCGGGGAAGAGGAGGGCCACGGCTTCGCCCACCAAGCGGCCAATGGCAGCTCCTGGGGGAGGACAGAGAAAGAGGTCAACCTCTCCCTCCTGAACTGGACAGGCCAACCTCTCTGGAAGCTGCAGGCAGCGGACTAGAGCAGTGGTTCTCAACCTTTCTAATGCCGCGACCCCATAATACAGTTCCCCATGTTGTGGTGACCCCCAACCACTTATACATCACCGGGTGCCAGGGGCGTGGCCAAAGAAAAGGGGGGAAAAAATGGCGGGCAGCCTTGTTTGGCGACCCCCGTGAAATGGTCGTTCGACCCCAAATGGGGTCCCGACCCACAGGTGGAGAACCACTGGGCTAGAGGAAAGGGAAGCGCTCACCGTAAATGAAGACGGGCATGAAGTACCCAGCGGGCATGGGCATGGTGGTGGCCAAGACCAGCATCCAGAACTGCAAGGGCAGAAAGGGTCAACGCTGGCAGCCCGAACCCAGAGCAGAGCCCACAGTGTCCGGCTGACCGTTCCTCTTGTGAAGCAGAAGGTGGACGGACGGAGCAAGGGAGACCCCTGGAAGGAGCGCTGCTGCCAGGCCCAGCGGAGGGCCTTAGGGGGATCTCTGCTGCGTGCCAGGCGGAGGAGAGTTCCCCGGACACGCACCTTCATCACCAGGAAGACAGACAAGGTGCCGAAAACGGAGATGCTGGGGTGCCACCACTCCTGCCACAGGTTGAGGGGGTCCACCTGCGGAGGGCTGTCAAGTGACACGTTCTGGGAAAGGACACTCCAGGTGCGGTTATCCAGCAGGGAGGTGAGCAGCTCTTTCATGCTCAGCTGCAGAAGAGAAAGGCCACGCCTGGGACACGGTATCCGCCTTCCCCGCCTCCGTCCCAGGGCAGAGAGAGGACCGGCAGCCCCTCCCTCCGCCCCGGCTCCCGTGGCTCGCCACGGCGCCCCCCCCCTGCGTTCTCCGCAGGCTCTGCCCTCTGCAGCAATGGCTGGTAAGTTACCCTGCAGGCCATGAGTTGTCCCAGGCTAGGAGGGAAGGTGATGGAGGACAGCAGGAAGGCCACTAGCACCGAGTAGAGGGGCTTCCTGCAAATGAAGGCCGAAAGGTCAGGGAAAGGAGTTTATCGCAGAGGTGATGCATCGGCGAAGGAGTCTGGGCTGGGGGCTGCCCTAGGTAGCTGTAACTCCGGGGGCAAATCTCCCGATGGAGAAGCAGAGAAAGCTTTAGAGAGGAGCCTGGAGATCTAATATTGGAAGAAAGATTCTTTGCCTACTATAGAAGATCGGGCGCTTAAGGTGTCAAATTTAGCAGAAACGGCAAAAATTTCTGCTTACTTGAAGGATCACTCACAAGAAAGATATATTTCGGTTTGGAGAAGATGGATAGATTATATTCAGAATAAATGTGGGATTAAAAAGTTTCATTTAGCTTATGAGTAAACTTTAGAGCAGTGGTTCTCAAGCTGTGGGTCGGGACCCCATTTGCCGTCAAACAACCATTTCACGGGGGTCGCCGAACAACGCAGTCCGCCATTTTTTTCCCTTTTCCCTAGCTGTCCTACTCCCTTATTGGTGGCCACACCCACTTCGGGGTCACCACAACAAGGGAAACTGTTTTATGGGGTCACGGCATTAGAAAGGTTGAGAACCACTGCTTTAGAGTATTATTAATAGTTTCTTTTTTTTAATTTTGATTAGTTTTAGTACGGTTTAACAACATTGATTTGTTTATATTATTATGTTTATTTTTAATTTGTTTATATTTATGTTACAAGGGAGTTAAAGTGCATTATGGACTTGGTTACTTGTATAGTTCGGTAATTTTTTTTTTTTAGAGTTTGATTGTTTATTTGTAACCCTGTATTTAGCTCTGGGAAGTGGAGGGGGGTTGGGGTGGGTGGGTCTTGGGATGTATATTGTAATAAAACTTTTCAATAAAAAAAAAGAGAGAGAGATGAGCCTGAGATCCAAGAGTCTGAACAGCTTGGAAGCCGGACTGCAATTTTCTTCCACAGAGGTGAAAAGGGGTGTGTGTGTGTGTGTGGGGGGGGCAATCTAAACTGCTGGCACACATGGGTGGTCTTCCTGGTGAGCCCACCTCCTGCACGGGAAGCCTCGTCCACCGATCCCAGAATCGGAGAGGCCATTCCCAGGGACTCTGGAGAGCTGCCCTCTCACGGCTACTTACTCGGTGGCCAACAGCCTGGCCGAGAAGCGGTTCCTCCGGACGTAGCCCAGGAACCAGCGCTGGCAGAAGAGGTAGGCACAGCTCAGCACACCGCAGATCACACTGCAAAGGAAAGAGGGGGGGCTCTCCTGCTGCCTCTTACCTGCCTCCCACTCACTCCCCCCCACCCACAGACAGGGAGACTCACTCCTCACCCCAGGCAGGTGAAGAAAATGGTCTCCGGCAGGTCGAAGGGGAAATCAATCTTAAAGCTGGTCTTAAAGAGGGCCGTGATGGTTTCTGGAAAGCAGAAACAGCAACAGCTGAAGGGGTCCGACTCTTGAGCCCCTTCCCAGCGCCCGCCCCACCCACCCACCCCCTTTTTGACCCTCAGCCAAGCAGCCCACTGGAAAGGGCCGACTCCATCTGTCCTAAGGAGCTTCCAAGCACGATCCAGAGAAGCTGAAGAAGTGGCACGGCCTGCCCCCTGCTCAGTGCGGCCCCCCACGTCCCCCAGCCAGTCACCCCACCTGCAGCTACGCCGTTCGGTCAGCTGGTGAACTGCCTCTGGCGAGCGCTCTCTCCCCCTCCCTCAAGACACAGTGGCCAAGGCCTCCCTCCTTTGGCCCCCCCACCTTGTTCACTATTGAAGACGGCCAAGAGGCGGAACATGAAGGCGCCGCACGTTGCCGAGAAGAAGCCCCTCCAGTAGTCCCGAACGGCGAAGTGGGAGGACACGACCTCGATGCTGAAGAGGACCCCTGGGGGAGCAGCGAGAGGGGGGAGGGCAGGGCATCCCAGAGAGTCAGCCCCACGTCTATCTGTCTGGCCCCTCCCCGGCCCCCAACCTGCCTTAAGGGACTTGGCCAGAAACGGAAGCCGCCTCCCGGCGAGGTCTTACCGCTGATGGGTGCCCCAAAGACGGTGGCCACACCCACGGCCGCTCCTGCCACCAGCATCTCGTTCTGCTTGCTCTTATTCTAGGCCAAGGAAAGGCAGGCTGAGGTGGCTGCCCAGTCTCCCCCCCCCCAGGCAGGGGTCCCAGGAACCCAGCCCCCTCTAGCCAGCCACAAGGTCCTCAGCTGCCCCTGGGGTGCAGCCTCGCCCTCCTCAGCCATACCTCGTACTCCCCAGAAACGCTGGTCCGGATCTTGCCCAGGTAGGCGGCGATCATGCTGGAGAGGTGAACGAAGGGTCCCTGCAGAAGCCGGGCAGAAGGAAGAGGGTAATAATAATAATAATAATAAGGATGATGATGATAATGATGTTGGAAGGGACCTTGGAGGTCATCTAGTCCAACCCCCTGCTCATGCAGGAAACCCTATGCCATTTCAGACAATCTCTTCTTAAAAACTTCCAGTGTTGGAGCATTCACCGCTTCTGGAGGCAAGTTGTTCCACTGGTTAATTGTTCTCACTGTCAGGAAGTTTCTCCTTAGTTCCAGGTTGCTTCTCTGCTGAATAGAATAGAATAGAATAGAATAGAATAGAATAGAATAGAATAGAATAGAATAGAATAGAATAGAATAGAATAGAACAGAATATGGAATGGAATAGAAAATGGAATAGAATAGAACAGAATGCAGAATAGAATAGAACGCAGAATAGAATGGAATGGAATGGAATGGAATAGAATAGAATAGAAATACAGCTGGAAGGGACCTTGGAGGTCATCTAGTCCAACCCCCTGCTCAGGCAGGAAACCCTATACCTTTTCGGACAAATGGCTGTCCAGTCTCTTCTTAAAAACCTTCCAGTGTTGGAGCATTCACCGCTTCTGGAGGCAGGTTGTTCCACTGGTGAATTAAGGACCCGAAAGACTCAGAGGAGGGAGAGCTGGCCAACCAAGGGCCCCTCCATCCTAACAATGGTCTCTCCCAGCAGCCCCCCCCCAGGTGAGAGGCTAGTCTCCTGACCTCAGCTGGACCTTGAAGATCTCTAGGAAGGAGACTTCCCTCCCCCCTCTATATTCACCCAGATTGCTGGCCTGACCCTGGCGGGGTCTTCAACCCCTCAGCTCCTTCCTGGCCCAAAGGGACCCAGCCCCACTTTCCCTCTTGGGCTCGGGCACCTTCAGCACCAGCTCTTTTTAAAGAGGAGGTGGGCAAGACTAGACAGATCTGGGGCAGCAGCAGCGGCCGAAGCCTCTCCATCCAGACACCCAACTTCCTGTTTCAGGACACGGTTCCCTTCCAAACCACCACAGCTTCCTTGCTATGTCCCAAGGCTGACCCCCCCGCCCCCCCAGACCGTGGAGGCGCTGCTCGGAGGCGAGAGAGACCCCCACCCCCTTCAGCGCACCCGCTGGGCACGTACCACTTTTCCGAGGAAGAGGGTGCTCCCGCAGGCCAGCGTGCAGGTCAGCCCCACGACTTTGGCCCCAAAGTTCTCAATGGCCAGGTATTCCTCCAGGATGACGCCGGTCAGGATGGTCTTGAGTTCTGGGATGCCAGAGCCTGGCAAAGAAGGCAGAGGGATCTCTCCACCGCTTCTGTCCGCCTGGCAGGGCTCCCTGGCGCCCGCCCAGAGGCTGCCCCCGACGCCCAAACCCCAACGGGAGCCAGGCTAGGCCCGGGGTGGTGAAGGCGGCTCCGGGTTGCCCTTTCTTCACCCAAAAAGAGCCGAGGTGGTGCAGCAGTTAGAGTGCAGTACTGCAGGCCACTTTAGCTGAGTGTGTTCAGCAGGTCAGCGGTTCAAATCTCACCGGCTCAAGGTGGACTCAGCCTTCCATCCTTCCGGGGTAGGTAAAATGAGGACCCAGATTGTTGGGGGCAATGTAAATATATATATATATATACATTGCTTACTGGTGTACACCGCTTAGAGCAGTGGTTCTCCACCTGTGGGTCGGGACCCCATTGGGGGTCGAACAACCATTTCACGGGGGTCGCCAAACAAGGCTGTCCGCCATTTTTTTCCCCCTTTTCTTTGGCCACGCCCCTGGCACCCGGTGATGTATAAGTGGTTGGGGGTCATCACAACATGGGGAACTGTATTATGGGGTCGCGGCATTAAAAAGGTTGAGAACCACTGATCTGGATGGTCCCAGCTGGTGCTGGCTGGCCCGGTTCAGAATGATGGGAAGCGTGGTCCAAAGCCAGTGCTGAACAAAAAAAAAATAACCTTGCAATTGACGCGCTTAAGCTTCTCATTCGGGCTGACAAGAAAGCCGTTCGGGGGGGGGGGCTTTGGGCTTCTTTGGCTCTCCTGCTCTCTTGACCCATAGGGGGTCTCTCTCTCACTCTCTCTCTCTCCCCCCCCCCAGCTTGGAGGCTGGAATATCAGCGCCCCCTCGGGAGAGTACGGTTTCAACCAGACGCTGCTGGCCCTGGTAGCCCACTACCACCTCACCCCTTTCTTCTCCATCTCGGTCAGCGTCGACTCGAAGAATTCCAGCAGCAACATCATCCAGGTAGGGCAGCGGTTCTCCACCTGTGGGTCAGGACCCCATTTGGGGTCGAACGACCCTTTCACGGGGGTCGCCAAACAAGGCTGCCCGCCATTTTTTCCCCCCTTTTCTTTGGCCACGCCCCTGGCACCCGGTGATGTATAAGTGGTTGGGGGTCACCACAACATGGGGAACCGTATTATGGGGTCGCGGCATTAGAAAGGTTGAGAACCACTGGCTTAGAGAGTGCTTGCACTTAAAGCGGTATAGAAGTCTCATAAATAAATAAATAAAATAAATAAATAAAATGCAGCCCTGGGTTGCCCTTTCTTCACCCAACGTCCTTTCAGGAGGAGAACAAGGCAGCGAACGGAAGAAGGAAACCTCCCAAAAGGGCTCAGGTTGGCCATCTTTCTCCTCTCACCCAGACTTGGGAGAAGAGAAGAAAGCTGCTTCCCAGTCCAGGGACTGGAACCGGGCCGATTCAGCAAAGCCGCCCCTGGGTGGCTGACCCCGGCCTCCATTCCGCCTCACCTCCGGCGTGCTGGGTAATGCTTTGGGCAAAGCCCGTGGAAAAAGCCGAGAGCGCGACCGGATACATGGTCCAGGAGAGGAACTTCAGCACGGGGTAGTCTCCGACCTCTTGGTAAAGCCACAGGTGCGCTGGAGAACCCAAAGGGAAGTTAAGCCGGCTGGGGACCGAACGGCCCCCCAGGACTGCCTTTCCCACATGGAGAAGTCTAACCCCCGCCCCTCTTGAAACTTGTGGCATCCCTTGTGGCACGGGGTCTCCGCAGACTGCACCGACCCACTCTTTCCTTCTGCTTGTCCCTCAAAAGCCCAGCTTGGGGGAGGGCGGTGAGAAAAGTGGGGTCTGGGGGGGGGGGGGTGAAAGCTCACCGCTGGCCACTCTGGAGACGGTGAAGTCCATGGCAAAGCTGACCAGCGCCATGAGGACGCCCAGGGCAAAGAGGTAATACCAATCGTCCCCGACCCGGAAGAGCTGCCGCTTGAAGTACTCCAGGCAACCTGCAGAGGGCAGCAGAGGCTGGGAATTAGGGGCGAAAGAGAGGCCCGGCCATTGTAATGCCAACCTCAGGGGTAGGCAACCTTGGCTCTTTTATGACTCGTGGACTTCAACTCCCAGAATTCCTCAGCCGGTATGGGGGAACTATGGCCCCCACACGACTCATGGACCAACTGCCAGAATTCCTGAGCCAGCATGGGGGAACTATGGCCCCCTCACGACTCGTGGACTTCAACTCCCAGAATTCCTGAGCCAGCCTGGCTCAGCTTGGAAGCCTCTCCCTTTCCCCTCAGCATGGCTGGCTCAGGAATTCTGGGAGTTGAAGTCCACAATTCATAAAAGAGCCAAGGTTGCCTACCCTTGGCCTAGTCCAGTGTTTCTCAACCATGACAATTTTAAGGCATGTGGACTTCAACTCCCAGAATTCCACAGCCAGCATTGAAGTCCACATGCCTTAAATTGTCAAGGTTGAGAAACACTGGCCTAGTCTGTGCAGCCATCAGGTCTACAATAAGGCCCATTTAGAGCAGGGGTCTTCAAACCTGGCCCTTTTATGACTTGTGGACTTCAACTCCCAGAATACCTGAGCATGGCTCAGCTTGGAAACCTCTCCCTTTCCCCTCAGCATGGCTGGCTCAGGAATTCTGGGAGTTGAAGTCCATGAGTCGTAAAAGAGCCAAGGTCGCCTACCCCTGGCCAACCTCTTTCAAGGATGGAGGAAGAGGCCACCACCTCTGGGGAAACAGCAACATCTGGAGAGCCTCCCCCCTCGGGGCCACCAATACGGAAGCCACTCTTGAGGCTGGGTGGGCTCTCCCAGGTTCCTACCGTGCACCTTGCGCCGGGCTTTCGGCCAGGGTCTCCAGTTGTCTTCCCAGGGCAGGAACACATTTGTCTCCTCCTTCTCCTTCTCCTCCTCCTCGTTGTTGTTCTGGCCTCCCTCTTTCTCCCCCCTGGCTCTCTCTGGCCTCTCAGCAGCCATGCCCTGAGGCTGGGAACGGAAGCGCTGGATGCCGGCCCGGAGGAGCTAAGCTGCTTGTTTGCAAGCACCCAGACGGACGGGTCCCCAGCTGCCCCCTGCGGCGGCTTGTAGGGACCTGGACCACAGGACGGAAGTGTGGAGGCTCCTTCCCCTGAATCCTGGAAGGCAAAAAAGTTCAGAAAAGGTGGAAGGAAGAGGAACGCGCACCCAGATATCCTCCCACCCACCCCCCAGACGGTCCTGGTCACCCTGCAAAGGGAAGATGCTCCACTCACAGCAGCCGCAAAAAAGGCCAAACCTCTGACCGGATCTGCCTGCCTGGTTCCAAGGCAAGGGCTCTTCGCTCGAGAAAGGTGGAATTGTATTGCCTGAGGGAGCCTCAGACACTAAGGGAATCCAGACAACAACGCACACTCTTCCTTCTCTCGCACCCCCCAGCTCAAACACAGCCAGGGTCCCCTCAATGGCCCCGACTGGGACCTGGGTGAAGGAGACTCACTCCACCTCAGCTGGGTCAGGGCGCCCCTGCGTGTGCCTGCAGACGACTCCTGCCGCTCCTGGGTCAAGGCGACTTCCCTGAAGCCAGTTTGCTCTGCATTTGCCCTGAGCAGATCAGGTGCGCAGGCACACACGCCCGTCTCCCTGGCCCTCCCTGTTCTCTCCCACACCTCCCTCCCTGACCTCTAACTATCCCGAACTCTCTCTGGGACCCACAGGAAAGGCTCTCCAGCAGGCCCATTCCAGCTCAAGCCAGCCATCTCACCAAGCAGCACGAAGGGGGGGGGGAGGCAGGCAGGTAGCTGGCAACCAGCCCCACTTGGCTGGCTGCCCCACACCTTGCCACCCACGCCCCTGAGAGTCATTTGTTTTGGTCAGGAGAGTTTGCTCACCATCCCAGTTTATGCTCGCTTCCCGAGGTCCAGGTCAGCTGCGGGGGTGCAAAACCAAGACCAGGGAGAGCCAAATTGCTGGAACGGGCTGCAACCCCTTCCTCCCAAAGCAGCCTGGCCAGACACAGCACCAGCCTCTCGCAATCCTTGCCATCTCACCAGGCTAACCATTAAAATGGGCAGGCAGCTATTCACACAGTCTCTGGGGAGGAGACAGACAACGGGGGGGGGGGCTGCTTGCTGCAGGTCAAGAGAACTCATAGGGAGAGGCCCAGAGCAGAGGCTGCGGGGCAGGAGAGCCCACGTGCTCCATGGTGAATTCAGAGGGCCAAACAAAAGGCATGTAAGACCCCCCCTTTTTCCTGAAAATCAAAAAAGCATCAGCAGGTGCTTTTGTTGGAGATGTGGTTGCTTAGATGCAACCTATTATCATATTTGGGGGACGTGTAGAAATATAAAAGCTTTTTGGATTAAGGTTTGGTGGAACATTCAGAAGATTTTTAATAGAAAGATAAAAGTTTACACCACAATTGTTTTTGTTAGGTGTTATTGAAGATTGTGATGTTAAAGAAACTATTTTAATGTTGAATCTTATTACGGCGGCAAGGCTATTGGTTGGGCAATATTGAAGGAAAGATTCTTTGCCTACCATAGGAGAATGGTCGTTTAAAGTTTCTAATTTAGCAGAAATGGCCAAAATTTCTGCCTATTTGAAGGATCGTTCACAAGAAAGATACATCTCGGTGTGGAGAAGATGGATAAATTTTGCACAGAATAAATATGGGATTAGTAATAGTAATAGTAGTAAAGTTGGAAGGGACCTTGGAAGTCATCTAGTCCAACCCCCTGCTCAGGCAGGAAACCCTACACCATTTCGGACAAATGGCTGTCCAGTCTCTTCTTAAGAACTTCCAGTGTTGGAGCATTCACAGCTTCTGGAGGCAGGTTGTTCCGCTGGTTAATTGTTCTCACTGTCAGGAAGTTTCTCCTTAGTTCTAGGTTGCTTCTCTCCTTGATGAGTTTCCACCCGTTGCTTCTTATAGTTTAAACTGGGAGTTGTTTGTATTTGAGTTAAAGTATTTTAGGGATTTGGTTATTGGTATAGTTGGATAAGCTTAGTTAGAATGTTTGTTTATTTTTAACCCTGTAATCAGCTCTGGGAAATGAGGGGGGGGAGGGTTGGGGTGGGGGGAGGGAGGGTTATTGTATTGTAATAATAAATTTGTATAAAACTTTTCAATTAAAAAAAAAAGCATCAGCAGGTACTCCCCAATTTCCAAACTGGGCGTGATTTCTGAACTTTGAGTGGGTTCCCTGGGCCCCTCTCCTCCTGCCAGCACTCCAGAAGTGGGGCTGAGGTCCAGAAGAGCTGCACTGCGATGGGCAATGGGTGAAGCTGACTTAGGGAGGGCGCCCTGCCCTGTGGGGCTTGTTCTGTGGGGAGGAAAGAGGGCACGGGAGGCCCCAGACCCAATGACTCAGACTGCCGAGAGGAGGGTGACTAAGCAGCTGCGTTTAGCTACGAGCTGGCCCCGGACACTTTCTACAGATAGGTTGCGCGATGCTTGCCAGCAGGGCCTGTTCCCGTCTCCATCTTGCACACGCCAGGCAAGAGGGCCCGGGCACATCCATCTGAGCTGCCAGGGAAATAAGCATCTCATCCCTGGAGAAACGGGAACCCCTCTTCAGGTTTGGGGTGTGTCTAGAGGGAACGGGGTCCTGGGCTCTGCCCCTCTCTCCTTTGGGATGCTTGCCAGCCGGGAGCTTTCCGTGCCAAGCTGTCCCCTTCCTTGCGGAAGGCCAATCCCACTGCCAATCAGGGGGATGATCCAGTCAGGCTTGGAATGCTGGTCGCCAGCCGCCCCTCCCGCCTCTCTCTGTTTGTCTGGAACCCGTGCCTGTGAGAAGTTTTCCAGAGGCATCGGCCGGGTGCTGTACAACACTCTAAATTTAGACTTTTTGGCGAGACAGCCCAGCGGCTCCGAGGCTTTTAAAGGCTTCACAGCTGCCCGGGTGGCTCTGTCGGCTGAGAGACTTCCGCAGGGGGCAGCGCCAACTGTTCTCTTGTGGGCCGGCAGGAAGACCAACCTGAGCCGAGGGTATCGGCTCCTCCAGCATCGATCCCCCCGGAGAGCCACCCTCTTAGGGTTCGCTGCTTCGGCACCCTCGGCAGAGCACGACCAGGCAGGCGGCGGCCCCATGGAGAAGGCCCACGGAATATTCGACAATACGCTGGGGGGCTTCCTGAGGCCCCATCCCGAGCCCCGAAGCTTCTCAGGCAAGTGGGGAAGAGAGGGATGAACAGGCGGCCTCTGACCCCTGACTGTCTGGGTCTCCTGACTGCCTGGGTCTCTCTCCCCCTGGCTCTCCTCCAGCCAGCCCCACGGTCGAGGCGCTCACTTTCAGCTGCGTGACCATAGAGAGGTCATCGTTTCCGCTGTTTAGAGTAAACCCTTTCTTGTTTACACCATTCCTGGAACGATGGGTACCCAGGCACCGCCATTCTGCCCCACGGTATCCTCCCTGCCCCTGGCCTGGCTGCACTTGTGAAAGGCAGAGGAGCATAAACGGGGTTTATTGCGCCAGCTACCTTGCCTTTGTGGGATGGGTCCACCCCATCCCACAAAGGCAAGCAAGGGCAGCTTGATTTCCCCCCCACACACCCCCGTTCTTAGCTCTGTCCGCCACAGGGCCGTCTCTGAGTAGAGAAACCCGGGCAGGAGGGGGAAAGGGGCACTTGATGGGGTGGAGAGATGGCTTGAAATGGGATGTGTCCAGCCACTGCCACTTAGGAATCCTGTGGGCTGCACAGCCCTCGGGGACTTCTTGAGCTTCAGGCTGGTCTGTGTTCCCTTGGGAGGGAGTACCCCCTCGACCAGGTGGGATTTCGGAGTCCTGGCTCAGAAGCCCAGCCACGCAGCATCTCAAACAGCAGAGGCCCCAATGGAGACCCAGATGGTGCATCCTGCTGGCCCCGGGGATCCCACCCCAGACTTTTTGCCAACCAATATGTCCCCAGTGCTAGAATCAAGAACTGAGAGCGTCTCTTCTCCCAACAGGCCGGGCTGGCGGGACGGGAAACATCAGAACCTTGGGGGATACGTACCAGTTTGCGGTGGATGTCAGCGACTTCTCCCCCGAAGACATCATTATTACCACGTCCAAAAACCAGATTGAAGTGCGGGCTGAGAAGGTGAGTGGCTACTGCTGAGCTGCTCCCAGGAGACATTTTTAAAGCAGAGCTGAGCAGTCTGGCTGGGGCTGAGGGGTGGGGCAGCCCCAAGATGTTCGGCTGAGAAAAGCTGAGGCAGTTAACACCTTGGATCCATGGCTGTGGGGAGCAGCTTTCTCTGATCGTCAGATCCTCTGCCTATCCTGTGACCGTCATCCTGCTGTGGAAATTAACAAGAAGGAGTTATAGGAGTTGCACTTTTTTTCAAGGTTTGTTTGTACATGGAAAAAGATTAACCTGCTAGAGCATCCCCTCCCCGCCCAAAAGGACCTGGATGTGCTCCCTGCAATGTAATGGGGGCAAAGCCTGTAGGCAAGGCACTCGGGCAGCAGTGGCATTGCTGTCTTAGGAATGGCAGCCAAAGGGCTCTGGGGCAGTGGTTCTCAACCTTTTTAATGCCGCGACCCCCCAACCGGTTGTAAGTCGAGGACTACTCAACCGGTCGTAAGTCAAGGACCACTCAACTGGTGCAGTACCGTTTGCAGACTGGGACTTTTGGCGGGCTCAGCAGGGCAGAGACAGCCTGGACAATTCCTATTGGCTTTGGAAAGCCAATAGAATTAGACTCTATTCAAGAGAGTCTATTCGATTGGCTTTCAAAAGCCAATAGAATAAAAGGGAGGAGCACAGCTAAGGAAAAAGGGGGAAAAAATGGCGGACTGCGTTGTTTGGCGACCCCCATGAAATGGTCGTTCGACCCCAAATGGGGTCCCGACCCACAGGTGGAGAACCACTGCTCTGGGGGATCGGAGGCTCCCTGCCCTTTTGACTATGCTAGGGATGCACATGGGGATGGGAACATTCCCCAGCCGGCCAGACCACGTTGACCAAGATGTTCCCATACAAGCCTTTCTCTTGATGCCAGCTGCCTTTCTGGGGGCCAGACTGGCAAAAGAGGAGAACTTCTTGGGCCGAGTCACCCCAGCTTCAGTTTTGGCAGCGTCACTAGAATCTCTTCCAAGATTCGAGAGCCGAGATGGCGCAGCAGTTAGAGTGCAGTAGTGCAGGCCACTTTAGCTGACTGTGTTCAGCAGGTCAGCGGTTCAAATCTCACCGGCTCAAGGTTGACTCAGCCTTCCATCCTTCCGGGGTAGGTAAAATGAGGACCCAGATTGTTGGGGGGCAATGTAAATATATAGATACATTGCTTACTGGTGTACACCGCTTAGAGAGTGCTTGCACTTAAAGCGGTATATAAGTCTCATAAATAAATAAATAAATCTCCCCCTTTCATAAAGATCCGGGGACAGGCTGCACCTTATTTTAGCAAGCAGGCAATTGAGCAAGAAGAGCCACTTTACATGAACTTTCCCGATTCAAACCCTGGTGGCCCTAACTGCTGTCTCTTTTTGTCCTCTTCCCATGGGCAGCTAGCAGCTGACGGGACCATCGTCAACACATTCACCCACAAATGCCAGCTCCCTGAAGACGTGGACCCCACATCGGTCACCTCCACCCTGGGAGCAGACGGCTGCCTGACCATCAAGGCGCGGCGAAGTCCAGCCAAGCCATCTGAACAAGTGCAGCAAACCTTCAGGACTGAGATTAAAATCTGAGCTCCGGGAGCAGTTCGGGAGAGCGGGCCGGGAGCCAGGCTGGGCTGGGAGGGGTGGGGGGTGGGTGGAAAGCAGATCTGTCCTTCTGTTCCCCGTCAATAAGAGATGTTTTGGTTTGTCATCCATGACTGAAGGTTAAAGGGATGCCGGCAAAGAGCCGAAATGGCCAAAGCTGCCCTTCCCCCCCCCTTTTGAAAGGGGAAAGAACACAGCAGGAACAGCAAAGCGGGAAGGCAGCTGGAGCTGAAATTTTCCAGTTCCGCAGCCAGCCATTTAACGTTTTTAAGTGTCGGAGGGACGTACCGCTAAAAAAGAAAAAAAGAGGGTGCAATAGGAAATTTATATGGTAGGAAGTCAATCCCGCAGCGGGAGTTTAAACCTAATTAGGATCACTGTATACATCTTGCAAGCGTTCAGGTTAAAATGTTACATATGTTCATATGCTCCATTCAGGGTTTTGTTTTGTTGTTTTTCCCTTCCTGGCTGTCTTTGCACCCCGCCTCCAAATCCAACTTACCCCTACGAGTTTAAAAATAATAATAAAAAAAAATCGTCGAGGGAAATGAAACTGATGTAAACCAATGTAAACTTTAATTATAGGAAAATACGTGCCGACTTTGGCTCCGTGAACGTGTGTATGATTTTTTTGGGGTGCGGCGGGGTAGTGGGGGGGGGAAGAGAGAAGAAGCAGGAGCGAGGGAGCTTGCTTTTGTCCTTGTGTTGCATCCAACACAGAGACCCACACACACACAAACACAGTTTCTAAAGGCCAAAGAGCCGGGTAAAGAGGAAGAAATGACTCATGCTCTGGAAATAGAGAGCCGCCTGACAAAGGCCTTCCAGGGTTGCCAAGTGGGCTCCTCTCCCAGGTGGGGGGGGGATAAAGGGCGGCTTTCCAGGGGGCTCTCATGCCTTCTCCTTTCTCAAAAGCAAGTGTTTTCTTATTTATTTCTTAACTGTTCCTGCATAAGGTTATTTACAGATTCCTCCACAGCATCCAAGTTTAGTGATTGATTATCTATCTATCTATCTATCTATCTATCTATCTATCTAGATAGATAGATAGATAGATAGATAGAGAGAACTTAAGTGAGAACTTAAATGGACTCTAGAAGATGGTAGAGGACAGGAAGACCTGGAGGAACGTTGTCCATGGGGTCGCGATGGGTCGGACACGACTTCGCAATTAACAACATCTATCTATCTATCTATCTATCTATCTATCTATCTATCTATCTATCTATCCATCCATCCATCCATCCATCCATCTACCTACCTACCTACCTATAGATCTATCTATCTAGGTCTTTGGTTATTCAGGTATTTTCCCGCGTCAAATTGGAAGTGTCTTGGCGACGTTTCAACGAAGTCTCACTCGTCATTTTCAGGCTGGTGTTTTTGGTTTCGTGCTTCTCTCTCTCTCTCTCTCTCCATCCATCCATCCATCCATCCATCCAGCATATCCATCTTCCTTCCTTCCTTCCATTCAACCATCCTATCTATCTATCTATCTATCTATCTATCTATCTATCTATCTATATCCATCCATCCATCCATCCATCCATCCAGCATATCTATCTTCCTTCCTTCCTTCCATTCAACCATCCTATCTATCTATCTATCTATCTATCTATCTATCTATCTATCTATCTATCTATCTATCTATCTATCTATCATCTAATTTCTATTAGAGAAAAGGATTGCAAGTTTGTGACTTACAAGAAATAGAACCCTTCGGTTTCAGGACTCCAATCTCTCTCCAAATCATTATAGGCAGTCCTTGTTTAATTACCATATTTGAGAACGTCAACTTGGTCATTAAGCACCCTCCCCTCCCCACCCACCCCCCAACCCTCGTGGGGAAATGAGCCCCTCAGGAAAGCCCCGCTCAGGCTGCTGCTGCCCGAGGGGGGGGGCTGGGCGCCCTCAGCCCACCTCGCAGGGCTGTTGTTGCCGCTGTGGGGGATGCCAGCGGGGGGAGGGCCGCCTTCCCGAGGGGTCAGAAATGCAGAAAAGGGCGGCCAAGCCGGGAGGGGAGCCACCTCCGCCGCGGCTGTTGACAGGATCCACAGGGCGGCCCCGCGCGCTGTTGCCAAAACACGCGAGGCCCACAAACCGCCGCCGCGCCCTCCGGCAGCTGCCCAGGCGGTTCCCCTTCTCGAGGCGGCCGCGTTTACCTCAGCCGCCGGCGAGGCCTGCGGGGAGGCCCGAGAGCGCATGCTCCCCCTCAGGCGTTGATGAGCCTGGCCGGCTCCCGACGTCATGGCGACGGGCCCGGGCTGCTTCCGCGCCTGCGCGCCGGGCCCGGGCGGGGGGAAGCTAGGAAAGGAGAGGTGGCCCGCGGCGCATGCGCGCGCGCGCGCGGCGCCGTAAAAAGCGGGCGCCCTCCGCGCTAGAGCCGCTTCCGCCCGCGCGCAAAATGGCGGCGCCCTTTGTCTGTTCCGTGTCACCGTGATCGCCGCCGCTGCTGCCGCCGGGATTATGTGACGCTCGTGGGATGGCAGGTGCGGGGCCGAGAGGGCAGGCGGCGCCCGCGGGCTCCTTCCGCCCGCCCAGCGGCTGAGAGCGGGGCCGGCCGTCCCCGCAGGCGAGATCGGGCGAAGAAAAGCGGCGGCGCGGAGCGCTCCTCTTCGGGGTGCGGGAAGGGTTGGGGCGCGACCGCCGGGAAGGCAGGCTGGGGATGCGGGAGGGGCTTGTCCTTTCCCGCGACACAACAGCCTTCCGGGGTAGGCCAGGCTAGGAAGGCGCCAAGGGGCTCCTCCGGGGCTCGGCCCCTGCCGGGTGGCGCCGTCGCGCCGGCGATCCACGCGGGACTCCCTGACGCCTCTCTCGGCAGCCATGGACTTCCCGCAGCACAGCCAGCAAGTCCTGGAGCAGCTGAACCAGCAGCGGCAGCTGGGCCTCTTGTGCGACTGCACCTTCGTGGTGGACGGCATCGACTTCAAGGCCCATAAGGCGGTGCTGGCAGCCTGCAGCGAGTACTTCAGGATGCTCTTTGCCGACCAGAAGGACGTGGTGCACTTGGACATCAGCAACGCGGCAGGTGGGACCTCCCTAACTGGGGAGCCAGACTGGGGGCTGGCACAGCAAAAGTCCCCTAGTCTTCCCCCCCCCCCGAGATGGGACTTGGGAGCGTCCTGATGCTGGGAGGGGGGGACTAGAGTGAGGGGCCAGCTGGAGGTGGACTTGGTGAGGAACGGGATGCTAAACACCCCCACACACACACAATCCCTTCTCCTGTACGGCCAGCTGGAGGTGGACTTGGTGAGGAACGGGATGCCAAACACACACCCCCCCCCACACACACACAATCCCTTCTCCTGTACGGTAGCTTCAAAAGCCAGAGAGCTTCCAGGCTCAAGGCAGTCTAGCTTACAGCAGCCCTGACTAAGGCGGGCCTTGGAGGTGGTCTCTGTGCTGTGGGTGGGTGAGGGAGCAACGGGCATTATCTGGGGCTACTCACCTTCTGGCTGTGGGGTGTCTCCTACAGGTCTGGAGCAAGTGCTGGAATTCATGTACACGGCCAAGCTGACCCTCAACCCGGAGAACGTGGAGGACGTCTTGGCCGTGGGCAGCTTCCTTCAGATGCAGGAGGTCGTCCAGGCCTGCAACGCGCTCAGGGCCCTCTCGGCGCCAGCTGGGCTGGAGATCCCCGCAGTGGCTGGTAGGGCACTTTTCTCTCAACTTCCGTTCCTTTTCTTGTCTCCAGGATTAACCCAAGCCTGGGCCTGTCGGAGGGGAGCCACAGTCTCCAGCCGGGCCCGGGGAACCTCTGCAGCTGCCCGTGGGCAGGTTTGATAGAGCTAGCTTTTCCAGTGGTGTGTGTTTGGGTGTGCAGGCTCTCCATGAGTGTTTTGTCACTCATGCCAAACCGTCTGTTACATTGGCAAGCTGATGGAAGCAATACGGCTTTTGGAAGACACAGGGAAGCACCAGCAAGGCAACCATGCAGCCCCAACTTCCTAGCTTGAGGCTGGGTCTTTGGGGAGGGGTGTGTGGAAAAGGAAGCAGGATTGGTTTTGCTCTCCTGGTCTGAAAAGCACCATGTTTTTTTTATTGGAAGCATGGAGTGGAGGCGATGCACCTGCTATAGGCTTGCTCACTTTTTTATAATAATAATAGTAGTAAAGTTGGAAGGGACCTTGGAAGTCATCTAGTCCAACCCCCTGCTCAGGCAGGAAACCCTATACCTTTTCGGACAAAGGGCTGTCCAGTCTCTTCTTAAAAACTTCCAGTGTTGGAGCATTCACCGCTTCTGGAGGCTGGTTGTTCCACTGGTTAATTGTCCTCAGTGTCAGGAAGTTTTTCCTTAGTTCTAGGTTGCTTCTCTCTTTGATTAGTTCCCATCTGTTGCTTCTTGTTCTGCCTTCAGGCGCTTTGGAGAATAGCTTGACTCCCTCTTCTTTGGGGCAGCCCCTGAGATACTGGAACATGGCTATCCTGTCCCCCCTCGTCCTTCTCTTCATTAAACTAGACATACCCAATTCCAGCAGCCGTTCCTTGTATGCTTTAGCCTCCAGTCCCCTAATCGTCTTTGTTGTGGGATTCCTTAAATGTACTGGAAAGTTGGAGTCTGTGATTTAGAGGAGAAGCTGCAGATCTGTTGAGCCAGAAAAATTAACAGTTTTATGATGAACAGGTAGGGCCATCCAGGGCTGGCAGTCTTGGGCCAGCTGCTGATGCCCACTTTCTCCTGCCCGGGAACTAGTTCTCTGTAGATGTAGTGGAACCAGGAAGGCCAAGCTCTGCTGATGGGCAAAAAAGCATGGTAGGCTAGATCACACCTTTGGACTGGTCCCCATGGAGGGGAGGCTGCTACTGGTTAACCTGCTTGCTGGCTTTCTGGCTGGAGGGGCCTGAATGGAGTGGTCAGTGGCTTTTGCTTCCTCTCTCTCTCTCCCCCCCCCCCCAATCCCAGGGCAGGAGAAAACAACCAGCAGCAAGCACAAAGCAGAAGCCCTCACGGACCAGGAGGAACCAACTTCCTGTGACAGCCTCCAGCCGGCTGAAGCGGACCTTCCTGCAGAGGATCCGAAGGACGAGGCGGTAGCAGGAAGAGAGTGTGTGGCTGGTCAAAGGCCAGGTAGGGGCTAGGATTCTCTTCTCCGAAGCGTAGCTGCGGGGTCGGCTGGAGAGAAGCTGGAGAGAAGCAACGTTTTCTCTCCTTCCTGGCTTCTCCCAGATCTCAAGAGAACTTAACAATCTCAAACAGGTCTAGCTTCTTCCTTACCCGTGGCAAGTTGAAAATTATGTCAGGGCGAGTTCCGTGGTAACTCTTGACCCGCCCGTCTCCCGCTGCCCAGCTTCTGTTGGGTCCGCCATAAAGAAAGGGATGATTCTCTCCTCCAGCCATTTGAAACACCTTTACTTCCGGTTTCCCTCCGAGCGAAACCTGTCCCCGACGTACGGGAAAAGCTAGACCGTTATGAATCGTGGCAAACTGCAGAAAAATTAGCACGGGGGTTTCCCGCTCTGTCCCGGGAATGATCTGGCTTCTTCTGAAGTCCCCCCTCCTGCTCCTCTAGACTGCCGGGGTCTCAAAAGGTGCTGCCGGCTTTGTGCTTCTTTCCAGATGCAGGCACAGCGGGCCCCGGGGAGGGGGGACACTGAGGGACCACCGGAGGAGATGCAGTTTGGCCTCTCCCCCCACCTCTACTCTTCCCTCTCGGGACAGGGAGGTGGGGAGCACTAAGACACGGATGTAAGGTTACTGGGGGGGGGGGAATCCATCACGCTTAGTTGCCCAAGGGAGGTGTGTTGGGATCAGGAGATGCAGAAGTATTGTGCCAAACGTCGGGAAGCGGGAGCCGCTGACAACCTTGGCATCATCTTGGCAGCCTCTCGGTTGACTTAACGTTCCGAGGGGACGACGGTGAATCCATCACATTCTGGCTCGGCGGTGCTTCATTTCCTTTACGGGGCTGGTCTTTGAGACCCTCCTAAGCAGCGAAGAGGCGGTCGGCTCTCAGGCGGCGTTAGGGCGGTCTCGGAAATCCGCTGGCCTTTTCTCCTTGATCCCCGTCTTGCCTCCTTGCTCCTCCAGACCCTCCGACGCGGAAAGTCCCTGCGGAGGTGGAGCTGGAAAGCCACGAAGAGGAGGAAGACCCGCCCTCAGAGGCGGAGGGCAGCGGCGCGACGGCTGAGCCCAAACTGGACCTGCTGACCAACGGCAGCGTCCCCGAGGAGACCGAGTCTGGCGGCACCGACTCTGGGCAGGAGAATGCGGGAGAGGGCAGGCTGCTCTGCTCGGGGACATACAGCGACAGGACGGAGTCCAAAGCGTACGGCTCCGTGACCCACAAGTGTGAGGTGAGCTGCGGGCGGCCTGTGAACTGCCCCGGGAGAGAGCGGCCCTGTTGAAGGAGCCATTCCCAAAGCTTCAGGCGCTGTAGTTAAAAGGCACCTGGGAGGACGGGAGACAAGCCCCTCGGGTGGAAGCTACAGGGCGAACGTCGGCAAGAGCAGGCCCAGCAAAAAGAGGGGGTTGGCCCATTGGGGGGAGAGGTGCCTGGCAGGTCATCTCTGCTGCACTGTGACCTTGCAGGCCCGCTTTCCTTTCCAGACCAAACTCTTGATTTTCCCCGGCCCCAAGTCGGGGAAAGGGTCCAGCTGGCCTTTCTGCTCTTCCCTCTTCCCGGACTTTATTATTAAAGTTGGAAGAGATCTTGGAGGTCATCTAGTCCAACCCCCTGCTCAGGCAGGAAACCCTATACCATTTCGGACAGATGGCTGTCCAGTCTCTTCTTAAAGACTTCCAGTGTTGGAGCATTCCCCGCTTCTGGAGGCAACACCCACCGGGTGTCTTCCCTCGCCCAAGGGTGGAAAGAGACGCAGGGATCCTGAGCTTGGTCGGGCTGGCAGGTGGGCAGGCGGGCAGCGAAAGGGCCTCAGCTGGGAAGCCTCCAGTCGGGAAAGCGCTCAAGGGCAGGCCGTCTTGTGGGCTGGGCAGCCGGGCGAGAGGCACTAGCGGTGCCTTTGCTTCCTCCAAAGGACTGTGGAAAGGAGTTCACCCACACGGGCAACTTCAAGCGCCACATCCGCATCCACACGGGAGAGAAGCCCTTCTCCTGCCGGGAATGCAGCAAGGCCTTTTCTGACCCTGCGGCCTGTAAAGCACACGAGAAGACCCACAGGTGGGAGGGCGGAAGGGGGCCGTCCCGGGAGGGAGATAAGGGGGGGAGCAGCCCATCTGTCCAGGGCCCAGAAAACCTGGCCCTGTATCGGGGGCGTCCGTCCATCCGTCATCTCTTGAGACGGCCGAGGTACAGAGGCCATTTCTCGTGGGGGAGGCTGACTGATGGCAGCGCCCCCGACTGATTGCAGCCCCCTGAAGCCGTACAGCTGCGAGGAGTGTGGCAAGAGCTACCGCCTCCTCAGCCTGCTGAACCTGCACAAGAAGCGCCACACGGGGGAGGCCAGGTACCGCTGCGAGGACTGCGGGAAGCTCTTCACCACCTCGGGCAACCTGAAGCGCCACCAGTTGGTGCACAGCGGGGAGAAGCCCTACCAGTGCGACTACTGCGTGCGCTCCTTCTCCGACCCCACCTCCAAGATGCGGCACCTGGAGACGCACGACACCGACAAAGAGCACCAGTGCCCTCACTGCGAGAAGATGTTCAACCAGGTGAGGAGAGGGCGAGGGCCACCGGCTGCCTGGTGCAATGCTGGGACAGGGCGCGGGGGGAATACAACCGCCCATCTCTCACCGCCAGCTTCTCACAACTGCCGGCAGGTGGGGAACCTCAAAGCCCACTTGAAGATCCACATAGCTGACGGTCCCCTGAAGTGTCGCGAGTGTGGGAAGCAGTTCACTACCTCAGGTACGGGGGGGCTCAGCCGAGGGCCAGCTTCCTGGGGGGGGTTTAGCGTGAGCAGGACCGACCGCTTCCCCACCGCAGGCAACCTCGAGTGGCTTTGCCTTTCCACTTTCCTTCTCTGCAGGTAACTTGAAGCGGCACCTCCGCATCCACAGTGGAGAGAAACCATACATCTGCGTCCATTGCCAGCGCCAGTTTGCTGACCCGGGGGCTCTCCAGCGGCACGTTCGCATTCACACAGGTGAGTCTGGGCATCTGCAAGAGCGGAGGCTGCAGAAAAGCCCTCTGCTACGGATGCTGGGGCTTTAGGCCATGCCTCCCTTCAGCCTGGAAATGGAAAGTTGCGTCGGGACTTCACGTCTTGGCAGGGGGAGCTCCCTTAGCGGGACCTGCCAGCCCAGCTTGTCTCCGGAGGGTCGCAGGGCAGGAGAGGCCTGATGCATGGACAGCTGCTATGCAGCCTACTACTTATGTCCAGGGATTTTTTCAGGCTCCACCAAGGGTGTGTATCTGTAGCCAGGTTTTTAAACAAATGCTTTCCATTTTTGTGGTACAACATTGCTGAAAACCAGAAAAAAACAACAACTTTGTTCTCTGACCTTGGCTCATCTCTGGGACATTCAATAGGACAGGAAATAGATTTGGTTTTGAGGTTCGATCGGCCTTTTTTTAAATGTATATAAATATATATTCATGTTATTCAGATCTTTCCTGCGTTGTGATGCTATAATCCTGAAAAGCTCAATCTTTCAACAAAGATTGTGTCTTGTCTGTGTCCCAAATTATCTTACCATTTTGAACCTTTTTTTGAAAACGCAGAAGTCTGCCACTTTGGGCCTCCAAAACTGGAACAAATCCACACGGTGACAAAGCACATCTTATCATGTGGCGACTGTAGGTTGCTGTCCACGGGTGCCCTTTCTGCCGGACAGGCCCACAACTCACGGGAGTCAGGGCTCCCGTGGCCCAAGAATGGGGGTTGCATACTCCTCTCTCTCTCTCTCTCCCCTGCAGGCGAGAAGCCCTGCCAGTGCATAATTTGTGGGAAAGCCTTCACCCAGGCCAGCTCTCTAATAGCCCACGTGCGCCAGCACACTGGGGAAAAGCCCTACGTTTGCGAACGTTGTGGCAAAAGGTGAGGAGAGTCTCGCAAGCTTTGCTTCTCTCTCCCCGGTCCCTGTTGGATCTGTCCTGCCAGCTTTTACTTCAAGTGGATCTCTGCTCGTGATCCGGTGACCTTCCCTTGCAGGTTTGTCCAGTCCAGCCAGCTGGCTAATCACATCCGCCACCACGACAACATCCGCCCTCACAAGTGCAACGTCTGCAGCAAAGCTTTTGTGAACATGGGGGATCTGTCCAAGCACTTCATCATCCACACAGGTGAGGGAGGAGCCGGCAGGGTCCCCTCACCCGAGCTGCTGAAGCGGCGGCAGGCACACCCTGCTGGGCCCCTCGTGATGCAGCCCCTCTCCATCCCGCTGCAGGGGAAAAGCCGTTCCTGTGCGACAAATGCGGCCGCGGCTTCAACCGGGTGGATAATCTCCGCTCCCACGTCAAGACGGTCCACCAAGGCAAAGCGGGGATGAAGCTCCTGGAGCCCAGCGAAGACGACGAGCTCAACATTGTCACCGTGGCCTCAGAGGAGATGGTGACGCTGGCCACGGAAGCCCTGGCTGCCACGGCAGTCACCCAGCTCACTGGTGAGTTTTGTTTTTTTTTTTTGCGCTGATCCGGCTGGCCGAAACCGTTGTGCCACATCCCTGGCAAGTGAAACCTTTACGCCTGAAACCTATTTGGACCGAAGAAGGGGGAGGCAGGGTGTGTGTGTGTAATTGTATCCTGCCTTGCCCCACGCTCTGCCGCTTTCGGAGCGTCTGAGAGCGGCTGGCCCGCCGTGCCTTCTTACCTGGGAGCGATCCTGACTGGGACATCCTCTCCTTAGTTGTTCCCGTCGCAGCGCCCGTCACCGCAGACGAGACGGAAGCTCTCAAGGCGGAGATCACCAAGGCCGTGAAACAGGTCCAAGAGGCAGGTGTGTCTCGGCCGCCCCTCCTTTTTTGGGAGGGGGGGGAGAGTAGAGTTCGGGCGGGCCAGGCAGCTTGTCCGGAGCAAACAAAGCTGCCACAGGGGGGCAGCACCCTATCAGGCAAAAGTCCAGAGAGCTGTTTCTGAAACAGAGAAGGCTTTTAGTGGCAGAGGACACTGGCTTTGTGGCAGACCTTTGAAGCCTTTCTTAATGGGAGGAAATGGAATTGGGGATGGGGGGGGGCGACGGTGCTCCGAAACTCAAGAAGTCTTGCTGCACCGCGGCTGTCTCATTCTAGACCCCAACACCCAGATCCTCTACGCTTGCGATTCCTGCGGGGAGAAGTTCCTGGATGCCAACAGCTTGGCTCAGCATGTGCGCATCCACACAGCCCAAGCCCTGGTCATGTTCCAGGCGGACACAGACTTTTACCAACAGTACAGCGCTACTACCGCTTGGCACGGCGAGCAGGTCATCCCATCGGGAGAGCTACTCTTCCGGGCACGGGATGGCAGCGAAGTGTCGCCGGCCTTGCCGGAGGCCCCACCGGCGGCTGGAGAGTGATGGCAGATGCAGCTCCGCCTGAAGACGGGTGCCCAAAGGAGAAGCCCCCCCCCCCCCCGGTCAGCTTGGAGAGCCCCCCTCCTGCTCGGCGGAAGGACTGGGAAAAGCTCTGCTCCCGCCAGCCGCCACCTCCCATCGCTCTGAACGCTCCAGCGCTGCTCACAAACCGCTATTTAAAGCCACGAGTGCTACATAAAACTGATGTAAAAAAAAAAATAATATTTCTATATTGGAGAGACTTACACCTGTGTTAATAGTGAGAAGAAATAAAAGGCTGTTATTTTCTATGTTTGAAATTAAAACTTTGCTTTGGCTGAGTTTGGTCTCTTCAGCCAAGGTTTTCCTAGCTTTTCTTCGCTCGGTCTCCCCAGCAGAACACACAGGAGGGTTTTGTTCCGTCCACCAGATCCGGAAAGCCAGCCAAGGCTCCTGTCGGAAGCAGAATTTCCAGCCACTGCTTCAAGGGAGGAGGTGGTGAAGGACACCTTGTATTGAAGCAGCCTAGGCACCCCACTTTCCTGCAGATAACCGTGAACACCAGGGTGTTTTGTCTTTTTTAATAAAAGTCTGTATTCCAATGGACACACAAAACAAAACTGCGCTGAGAAAACAGTTCCATAAATTAAGTCTTAGGAGGATCGGAGAGAAGGCAGATTAAAAAGTCTGTACAGTGGGTGAAACCTTCCGTGGGCAGAGCGAAGGCGGCGGGGGGGGGGAGGCCCATGTCTAAATGAAGCGCACTTACAAATGAGTGACAAATACAAAGTCGGAGTATGAAAATAAGATTTTCTTTGAAAACACATCTTTTTTTTGGCACAGGTTAAAAAAAAAGTATGTTGTGGGGATCAGATTTCTTTAGAGTTTTTATATATATATATGTATATATGTGTGTATATATGCGTGTGTGTATATACATACGCACATCCAGACACATACATATATATATATATAAAATATTATATATATATTTATATATACACACACCCACGGAGTCCTGCATAATACCACCGAGGACAAAATAGCTCTCCTTTTTATGCTTTGCGTTCAGTGTAAACTGTACATCCAGGATGGAGTAGGGAAACTGCGAGGGGGAGGGAGGGGGGCTTCTCCTGGAGAGCGTGAAATGCTCCTTGACCCACAGACTGGAGCGGAAAGTCCTGCGGTTCTGAGTCCACGCCGCCAGCTGCTGTGTGTGTGTATTGAGACATCCATCTAGCATACCACAACAACTCTTCAACTGTGCAAAGGTCCAAAGTCGCAAATTTTAGTGCAAAGTCCGTTCCTCCTCTTCCTCCTCCTCTCTAGCCAGCTGTCAAAAAAAAAAAAAAAAAAAAGCAGGCCCAGGAGGAGAGACACCCCCCCCCAAATACACCTGGGCTCAGTTTGCCTCTGGGGTGCTTCCGAAGTCCGTCTTCACCAAAGCCCAGTCTCTAAAACATTCAAGGCCGTGGGAACCACCGCCCTGCTTGCCTGCCCGCCTGCGAGGAGGGTTTGATTGAGGCCCAGCGGGATGGGAGGATCCAGTCCCTTCCTTTGTTCGCTCTCTCCTCCTCCTCCTGCCACGGGGCCAGGGAGGGCAACGTCTGTTCCCACGGAGTCGCTCAAACAGCTGCAATAACGATCATCAGGTGAGGAGAGATGTTGGAGATGCTGGCCAGCAGGTCCGGGGCCAGGCGGGAGAGGTGGCTCTCGGAGAAGTCACACGGTGGGAAGATCTGGAGAACGTAGGCAGGCTGGAAGAGAGAAGCGGAGACGAAACCGTAAACGCCCAAAGCCTGGCCGGAGTAGCCAGTGAGCGGTGCGGCGGGAAGCAAGCGCAAGAGGCACCGTGCCCCTGGCAGGACATGGAAGGCTGGCCTGGCCACTGCCCTGGCCACGGAATCCCACAGGCTGTTCTCTGCATGGCATGATTCCTTTGGTAACCACCCTGACAAGGGAGCCGAGAGTGCTTGGTGCCGGCTCCTTTTCCTCATGTTGGACACCTGCTTGCCCACCTGAGCTCTGGGAATCCCAAGCGTATTGGAAATGGTGGCTCTGCTCAGAGAAGAGGCGGAGAACTGGAGCCCCCAAAGACTTGCCATCCTGGACAAGCCACTTCTGCCTCCGCTCGGCCTGCCTAAACGGCCACCTTTCAAGAAGCATCTTCCGCTTCACCCACCCCTTCCCTAGGATGTCCGAGCAGGCCAGGGCCGTGTCCTTCTCTTTGATGCAGGAGACAAAGGAAAGGGAGCTGACCCCCCCCCCCGTCCCTTCTTCCCGTTCCTACCTGGTTGGAGCCAGGGTTAGGAACATTGATGATGCCGGCCGCTTGCTTGGCCTGCAGATAGCTAATAAAGGCCGCTTTGAGCGACTCGGTCTGGTTCACCACGTCCTCTTGATCCCGGCCACAGGGCAGGGCCAGCAGCAGGCAGTAGTCACTCTCCACCTGAAAGACAACAGGCAGCCCCCGGGCCTGAGGATCACGTCCCTCGGGCACCTCCAGAACCCAAGAACCATTTTGATCCGGAAAACGAGCAGCCTCGGGATGCTCACAATAATTAGGCGTTTTTATTTTCCGGGCACAGAATCTTCGTTCTGTTAACTTGCAAAAGTGTTTCCACACACACACACACCCCACACACACACCTCAGCCTATCCCGAACCTGGGGAGGAATGAGGAGGAAACGCTGGAAATGGGCCTGAACTTATCACTGCCCTTTTCTAAGGCAGGGACCTGTGTCCTTCCACCTGCATCCTTACTGACCTTGCAAACACGGGGAAATTACGGCCAACGCTAAGAGCCTGAATGCCGGATCTCCTCCGGGCTTTTCATCTCTCACTCCAGAATCCCACCGCTCCAGGTGGAGGCTCTGAACTCGGCCGTGGAAGAGCGGCGAGCTTCTTACTGGGGCAGTTTTTGCACCACTGCCTTTCTAAAAGTAAGGGCTGGGCGCACAGTCCCTCCTCCCCGCGCTATCCCCAGCGTTAGCCACAGGCCTAGAAGGGTTGCTAACGACTGGCAGAGGCAGCTTGCCAAACAGGAAGACAGGCTCAGCCGGGGGCCTGATTCTTACCATCATCCGGCGGGTCACCCCTTCCAGCTGTGGGGCTTCCAGCCTCATCCGCTGGGCGATCCTCAGGGGAGGGCCACCCTCCGGGGCCGGCAAGGAGCGGTGCGCCAGGACGTTGTTCCCGGACACAAAGTGCAGCTGGACGGCCGCGGTGTCGTTCTTCAAGGCCAACAGTCCCTGCCACACAATGGGGTACTTCTGCCAACCCAAGGAAGAGCACAGGAAGGTTAATCCCCAGAGGCTGAGCTGCAAAAGAAGGGCCACTCTTGTCACCCACCCACCCCCACCCCGATTCTCCTCACAAAACTTCCTGGGATGGAGTCCCAAGATCTGTCCCTCTCCCCCTCCCAGAGATGGTCGACTCACCGTCAGCAGCTGGACCATGTCCACGGGTCTCTGGGCGACCGAGTGACCGATAGAATCCTGTTTCAAGGCCGACTGCGATTCGGACCGGGGTAAGGCCAGCCCTGGAGCTGCCCCAGGACCGGCAGTGGTTGGAATAAAGAGGGCCGGCTTCGGAACTTGAGCTTGGTGGGAAGGTGGGAGCTCCTGCTTCACTGAGGTGGCGACGGGAGAAGGGTAGGAGGAGGTCTGGCTCGGGTGCAAGTGAGGCTCCATCTGCTGGACGTGCCTGTTGACCACCGGGTGGAGGGAGGGGTCTGGCCCCGTTGACTGGGCTCCTTTGGGCTCTTGGGAGATCTGAGGGGTTTTGCTGTGAGCTGGCTGGTTGGGGTGCGAGTGTTCCCCTTCAGGCAGACCCTGGGAGACAGGAGCAAAAGGAGATGCCTTAGGCCTCCCACGCGTACACTGGCCCCTCCGGCTCTTAGGCAGGGTCAGGCAGAGGCCTACTCAAGACAGCCCTGCTCCCCTTCATCCAAAGGCCCTCTGCCAAGTCCCCAAGGCAGCCCTCACCCCACAGCACTGCCACGTGCCCCCACTCCGCTCTTCAGCCCAGGCTAAGCAGGGGACGCCCTTTCGGGAATGCCCCAGGCAAGGGGAAGGAGACCCCCAAGGTTGCAGTTGGCACAATTTGGGTACGACCGCTAAAAAGCGGGAAGCCCCCCACCCCCCCCTTCCCTGGCTGTTGGGCTGTTCGCACCAATTGCTCTCGGGAGCGGCACGTCCTACCCTTAGACCAGTGGTACTCAACCTGTGGGTCGGGACGACCATTTGGGGGGGTCGACCCTATTTGGGTCGGACGACCATTTGGGGTCGAACGACCATTTCACGGGGATCGGCAAACAACGCAGTCCGCCATTTCCCCCCCCCCTTTTCCTTAGCTGTGCTACTCCCTTTTATTCTATTGGCTTTTGAAAGCCAATAGAATAGACTCTCTTGAATAGAGACTAATTCTCTTGGCTTTCAAAAGCCAATAGGAATTGTCCAGGCTGTCTCTGCCCTGCTGAGCCCGCCAAAAGTCCCATTCTGCAAACGGTGCTGCACCAGTGGAGTAGTCCTTGACTTACGACCGGTTGAGTAGTCCTCGACTTACGACCGGTTGGGGGGGGGGTCGCAGCATTAAAAAGGTTGAGAACCACTGCCTTAGACCCTCAGCTGCAGCCCCTCCGTGACAAACATGGTAAAGAGAGCAGATGGGCCCACCAGTGGTTATCCAGGGACAGCCGGGTCCCAGGTGGCTGGTTTTGGCTGCCGACCAAGGGCACCCCTGCCTACCCATGAAGGCCTTGCCTGAGGCAGAAACTGTGCTCCCGGGCTTACCTGGGAAGGGGTCATGCTCCGGGAAGGAAGCCCGATCGGTGATCCCCCAGAAAACGGAGGGTGGCCAAGCTGAGCGGCTGGGTGGTAGCTTCGCATGTCTCCGTACACCGGCCGATAATCGTGGAAGGAAGTCCCGCTGGGGTGCATCATCTGCACCCCGTGAGGTACGACCACCGGCTGGGTCAAAGGCAGTCCTGGCAGCTGGCCGCTGAGGAGCCGGGGCTCGTTGTGGGGCGAGTGGGCCATCTTGACTTCGGAGGCCTTGGCCGTCTCTTTGCCTGCCTTGGTGGCCGGCGGCGTTTTCACCGATCTCCCTTCGGGCGTTCTGGACTGCCGCGACTCTGGGTGATGCTCGCTGCCCACTCCAGCCATGTGTGGGTGCATCATCACTCTCACGTCGCGAGGAACGCTGTACTGATCGAGCCGGATGCCGGTTGGATGCACGCGGTAGTCTGGCTGCATGACCAGCACGTCGGACTGCACAGGAGCCGAGCCCCGGCACGCTGGGTGGTGGTAGTGCATCTCTTCCTCGGAGGCGTGCTGGGAAGACAGAGGCGGCATGACCATCTCCCTGATGGGGGCTGGCTGGGGAGTGCTGGACCGCTGCGGCTGCAGAGGGGCCCTGGGTGAGTGGAGGGCCTCTGGGCGGAGGCCGTAGGGAAGGCCCGGCAGCGGAGGGGTGTTCATGCGCACTTCCCCCTGGGAGAGGTGGCCCAGGGAGACTGTCTGGGTCACGCTGTGCGGGGGCATGATCACAGACTGCTCCGGGTGCATGCTGGAGATGTACTGGGGCATGGGAATCCCTGGGCAAGGGGAGCCTTGAAGGCCCAGCATGGAGTTGTTCCCCGACAAGGCAGGGGAAGCGGGGCCCCCGGGGTGGCAAGCTCTCGGGAAGGGAGATGGAGAGTGGCCGCTGGTGCGGGGGGAGAGCGGCTCTTGCTTGGCGACCAAGTGAGACACGGGCCTGTCGGCGGGACCTCCTGGCCCGGTGCTCACGTGATTGGCCTCAGGATACAACTTGGCAGACAAGGAAGGATGGTGAGGACCCACCCCGGGGCTCAGGTTAGACGGCTGAAGGGGCTTGTTCTCCCCTTTCAGAGATGTGGGGTCCGGAAGCTTCTTGTTAGCGGAAGAGGCAATGGTTTGAGAGAGGACCATCTGGTTGTGCACCAGGATGGACGGAGTGTTGGTGGACTGGGAGGAGAGCACTTTAACTGGGCAAGACTGAGCAGTAGCTGCCTGGATAGCATCAGACTTTTCCGAGCTGCTGCTGCTACTGCGCTCTGGCTTGACAGGGGTAAGCATAGGGGAGGAGCTGTACTGCTGGGCTCCCAGGACCAAGGCTGGGGTGGAGGCGCTCCCGTAGCCCACAGGGGCCGGGGAGCCCTTTGGCATCGACTGAGAGGGAGCAAGGGACTCCTGCTTAATCTGGGACTTGGACACAGACTGCTGAAATTCAATGTCTACTGCGCTGGCTGGGGGAATCTGGCTAATTTTTGCAATGATCCGCTGGGAGCCTTCCGTCTTCTGTCCCGAATAGCTCAGGAGCACCACCCCTTCGGAGG